CAGTGGCTAACGTGTAGTTGGAGGTCAAAGCGAAGCCATATTGTGCCGAGAGTCGAGACAGGTTGCATCTAAAGCCGGAAACAGTTAACAACGGCTTAGCCCTTGGCCACTTACAGCCGTTAAATGGCATTATAGAGGGAGACGGACAGACGGGATGCGTGAGTTGGTTCACTCTCTGTCTCTCTCTAAATTGCGTCATTGAAATTCTATACCCTAACTTGAAGTTATATTTTTGGAAGGATGCGGACTATGACACTTGACCTTTGTTTCCAAATACGTTAAGTGTTGCCATCGAAAATTAATGACAAAGTAATGTCAGTCAAAAGGATAGACAGGCCTAGACATTCGGACAGGTTAGACAGGCCCCCAAAGTCGGAAGTAGAACCGGAGCAGAACCATCAATTCAGAGACCCAAAAGCCCAGAACCCAGTTCATCCATCCATCTATCCCTTGTCATGTCAAAGTTTCGGTTTCTGATGTTACTCTTGCTGCTGTGGCTGTGGCTGTAGCGACACAGGCTTGACTTTGTCCTAGCCATTATACTCTGATCCCACCCCATCGGAACCACCTCCGGTTTTGTGGCAGCAACCTTTGCAACCTTCGCATATAGAAATTTTAGCTCATTGACGTTTTGCGCTGCCTGCCGCTTTCGCTTTGAATAAATAACTGATGTGACGCTACAGACACATTATCCAACTGAAGTACATATATACTGGCACTTCATCCCCCAGCTCTCAGTACAATACAATCAACTGACGGAACAGCGTTTACCTGAACAGGACCCCCGACTCCACTCCAATTCACATCCCCGTAGCCGTCCTCGTCGTCATCTTTGACAGTCTAATCGTCTGTTGGACTCACTCACAATTGCCATAGGGCAACAGCATCCTGAAGGACCGCAGTCCGTTCAGCCCCGACCTAACCAACCATACCCCAGTATTTATGCAAAAAATTCCTGCCAAAAAATTCCTACCAGTTTGCTTCCCCGTTGCCTATCTGATGTACCAAACTGTATCTGACTCTGTCTTTGAAAATAGACTTGGCTGTCTGTTTTGGCTGACAGAAGGTTGTAAAACGGGGGCTTATTTTGATGTAGTGGATTAACATTTCTTAGTTTTTTATACCGAATCTATTGAATCAGCATATATTTAAAATGATTAAGTTGGTAAGCATCAACAGAAATTCGGCTACAGGGTGCTAACTTACTTAATAACTTTTATGTTTTCCTATATAGTTTTTTATAATTAACAAGAAAAGAAGTAAACTTCCGCAAGCCGAAGTTTATATACCATGCAGCTAGTGCAAAAATTTATATGCGTATAAGTTTGACGGTCTTCTGATTTGAATAAAAATAAAAGTCTGATCAATCAAATTAAAAAAATGTAAATTTCTATTTTGTATTATTTTTTTTAAATCTTTTTGGCTAATTAAAAAATTGACAGTTCAGAATTACGCTTTTAATTTTATTAAAATCGGTAAATGATATCATACAGCTGCCATAGGAACTTTCGAATAATTGAGCTGCAAATCATCACAGTTTCAATGTTTTTAAGCATTTACGCATATTAATCATAATTTTAACGTTTTTAAGAATATTTAATTTTTGAAAAAGCGGCAAGGGTATATGAACTTCCTTTCTTGTTCGAGATGAAGTTCGTTCCATACGGAATTTATACTTAGTTGTAATCAATTATCATTTGACAATGTTTCCCAAAAAAAAATGAAGTTCATATTATTGATATTAACAATAGTACCAACAACTTTTTTCCAGGAAACAATCGAATAACAACTGATTATCATTTCATTAAAAGCAGGCAGGTCATAAAAGCTTGTTCAATTTATGCCGAAACTGATTGAATATACTTTATTTTTAACATAAGCACAAAGAACAATTGGTTTTCTCCAATCCATCGAGCACTCCCAACTTCTGGCCTATTTACGTATATATTAAATTTCATTAGCATTCGCGGTTCTATCCCTCCTTTACTGAACTATAAATATATAACATTCGCACATTAACTTACCACCTACAACGACTTCTTTCCCAAGACGACGACAAGCTCACAAACCCGTTAAAGACTGTAGAACTCGACATAGAAAGGTAAAAATGAGTTATTGAAACGTTTTTAACTCATAAATAAATAATTACCGAATTCGCTAAATGCTTGTGCATAAAATATATGGCCCAATAATGTTTGCCGATGTTTTCCGTACACAACCCAACCGCATTTAAACAAATACCCAGTTTCTTGTCTGTTGGAGAGGGAGGGTACACAGCTGTCGTCATTGCGATGGTGGTCAGAGTTAAGTCCTAAGTATGTTCGTCATTTGTTTTTCTACTGTTTGTACAGTGGCCGCTTACCATAAAGGCAGCGCGTTCTCGGAGGGTGGCTACACCTAAAACGTGGTAATAGATACTAACCGCATGGATGGACCTATGAGGCATCGGGCATTCTATCTTGTTGGCTTTACGATACGTACTACCTATTTCCTTTTATCCAAACTGCAATCAAATGCGAGGGAAAGGAGAGGGCGATTCTTTGGGTTAGATCAAGTTTCATGCAGCAGATAATTTATATGGTATGAGCTTCCGTTTCGGAGGGTGTACCAGCTCCTCCCTCTGGCGACACACTCGCTGGGATTTGTTTGTGGCTGTTGACTTGCTTTTACATTGCCTTAGGTCCGTTTTCTCTGATTTGCCTTTAAGATTGCACCCCAACCACTTCGGTGTTTACGGTTTATTGTTCTTTGCTAGAATAGAGAAGTTCAGAGGACTCAGTCCTTGGCTTAGACAGAAAGTTGTTAAGTCGACTAGTTGTTAGCCACTGAGCCATGAGATTTGGCAGATATGTTTCAGCGATTAAGTGAACACCGCTTATAACTTAAGCTAACTTAATTGACTCCGATGCCTAAGGTAACTAGACGCTTGTGGGAGACCATATGAAGTCTAAAATCGCTATCGCTACCAATCTAAACTTGATTTATGGATTCTTTTTTTAGAAAGCTACAATAACATAAAAAATTGCATGCGAAAACAAAAAAAAAATTTGTGCCAACTTGTTATTTAACTGTAAAAAATTTTCACAAAATGTGATATAATTTAGGGAACTTATATAAGCTTAGTTAGGAAGCATTAATCATTAGGAACTCCATAATTTCGACTCAAGTTCATATTTCAAAATACTTATAAACTTAATGGATTCTGTTTCCTGTGATAAGCACTTTAACACTGATTGCATGTAGTTGCCCACACGATATATATAACATATACGTATAAGAAAGTAGTTTTCGGAAAATTGAAGTACGTGGACATTTCGCGACACGCTATTAAGCAGCAACAACAGCAACAGCAGGAGAAGACAACGTATGGTATTAGCATACTCAACCCAAAGCTACCATTTTTTTCTCCCTGAACAATTGACACGGCGACAGTGAATGCGAATCGAATTTTTGGGAATGTAGGAAACCAAAACAAATGGTTGACAGAGCTGCCGACGACATTGTCAGTAATACTTAAGGAGGGCTTCACTAAAATATTAAAGTTCACTAATATGTACATGCATCAAAATCTATTTATTGTATTACCATCTAAACTAACAGCGACTATATATTTGTTTTATAATTGTAGTCAGAAGTTTGCAGCGCAGTGACCTTATAATATATATTTATATATATAATATATATATATATTGATAACCATTACTAGGAGAGTCGATCTAGCCATAACCGTCTGTCCATTTCTACGTTAACTAGTCTCTCAGTTTTAAAGCTATCTGCATGAAACTATCCCAAAAATGATTTTCTGATTGCAGGTAGTATATAAGTCGAAACGAGGCGGATCGGACTGTGTCATATAGCTCATATAGCAATTGGAATAATTATAACAATTAAAACTTTGCTATTTATTAATTCTTTTTTTTTGTTTTTCGATATATAGTAAAGGCTTATTGTTTGAATTTGATGAAAATCGGACGACTACATCATATAGCACCATCGGAATATTATAAAAAGATAAATGGAGAAAAAATGTCTACTTCTTTATTTAACATTTTTTTTTGCGTAACTCTTTTGGATAATTCAGAATAACGCTTTTAATTTTATTAAAATCGGAAAGCGATCTTATTATTTTCATAGATCTTCTGTTTTTGAATATTCTAAATTTAAATGCTGCCACTGTTGCCTACAGGCAGCAATTTCTTTGTATTTTTAGTTAGTCCGGGCATTTGTTATATGTTACCCACTGTGCATTGACGAGATTACTTTCAATTTCTGGCCTTCTCTACGTACAAAAACGTGATGCGTGTTCCAGGGTTAATGTGCCATCGGTATGAAAAACAGGAAAACCCAAGGCAGGAACACAAATGCAAATTGTTAACGTGACTAACGGGAAGAGCGCGTGCGAAAGAAATCAATTTATATCAATGCAAAGAGCTTTCTCTGGGGCTTGAACCCTAAATGACAAATATGTGACATACTTTGCATCGCATTATTGAGCTTAAGTTGACAGTATGCTACGAACTATATAGTTTTGTAAGTGGGTGCAATGGAGTGGTTATTGAGTGCGGAAATAATAGGTTTTTAAACTTTAAATACAAGCAGTGCGTTCATATCTGGTGAATAAAATTAATGGCGTTAAAATTGTTATAAGACCTTTATACAAATTAATATTAATCGAAAGCCTAAAAATAAAAGCCTTTAATAAAAGAGTTCTTTTCTAAAAGATTACGGTGCTCGAATCTGCCCACAAAAATGTTGTGTTGTTTTTCGAATACATATATTAGTTTTATCGTAAAAAATAAAGGTTAAAATGTTATTTTAAAAATAAAGGGTTAAAGCTGGTTAATTATTGTATTTTCAACATAGTTTTATTATTGCTTTTTTCTTTCAAAGTCCAATAACTAAAAATCGTATTTTTAGTAGACTTAAACCACATCCCCTAAAAAGGGTTACTGCCAACATTATTTTTAATCTCCTATTTCAACCATTCATTTCATATTCAGACCACTCTCTGCTTATTGGACATACGAGCCGCCTGGGCGAAGAAACTGAATGCGAGTCAAGCATTCGACGACACATGGAACACAGCATCTGACTTAGAAAATGAACTGGAAGTAAGTAGTTCATTCGCCAAAGCATGGCACAATAAGCCCACAAATGCAACTGCCCATTTGCAGCAACAAAAGCGTGCGAAAGGTCAGAGTGCAGCAGGAAGCGGAGGCAGTGGAGCTGGCCAGTGGTCGTCCTGGTCGGATTGGTCGACCTGTTCGCGCACCTGCGACGGTGGCATCATGCAACAGATGCGTAGGTGCGGCAACGGCAACACAGGCAGTTGCCGCGGCGAGAGCGCCCGCTATCGCATCTGCAACATGCAGCCGTGTCCGGAGCAGCAGGATTTCCGCTCCAGCCAATGTGCCGCCTACAACGATGTCCCCTACGACGGCACCCTGTACAAGTGGACTCCGCATTACGATTACGTCGAACCCTGCGCGCTCACATGCAGGTGAGTGTGACTGGCCGGCTGGGGAGGTGCACCCACAATCTACTCCAAGTGGGCATTGTCGAAAAAAACATATATTTTTATAATTTTTTTTGCGGCGACGTCTGTGATACTATTTTTTTAAATTTAATTACATGTTATTTTACAACTTTTAAGGAACGTAAGAACAAATTTTCGAAAACAAATAATGTAAAATAAGCCGGTAATCGTAAATCTATAGAAGCGCAAAGAGTTTTTTTTCAATTTTTTGGAGAACTTTGAAGTGAACAACGCGTTTTTAGCTAAAACAAGACAGGAAGCAAGCTTCGGCAAGAAGAAGTTTATGTACCCTTGCAGCTATTGCAAAAATTCAATTTTCTTGAAAACATTAAAATTCTGATTTTCTTGCGTATATGCTAAAAAACATTGAAGCCATGATGTTTTGTACCTCAATTATTTGACAGTTTCTATGACAGCTATATGATATCGTTTACCGATTTCAATAAAATTAGAAGCGTAATTCTGAACTATCAAATTATTAATAAGTCAAAAAGAATTTAAAATAAAATAAAAACAAAAAACAACAAAATCTTCGTGATTACCTGCTGATCTATGTGAAGAAATGATCGGTTCAGTAGATTTTGTGTTCTGGTGTTCTCGAACTTAAAAAAAGACGTTTTAGGGAAAATCGATTTAAAGTTTTTCATACGTGAACAATCTGGTTGCACGGCCAGTCGTTTGAAACGCTGTAATTCGGTTAGTTTTATTTGGATTGACTTGAATTTTGTGAAGAATATTCTCAACATTTATGATAGTTCAGAAAAAAAAATAAAAAAAACTAAACTTAAAACTTTCTTCAATAATTTTTTTGTTCACTCATTATTCCGATTTTATTTTTTTATCTCATGCATGAGAATATCTGTTATTACTCTTTTATTTTTATTTATTAATACTTTTAAAAGGCGTGGCTTGTTGCAGAGAAAAATCACGACCACTCTTAATCGGACTATGCTGCAGCTGGTCCAGTCGGATGTGGGCTCATTATTCATCAGACATTCCGTTTGGCCAGCCATGCGGTGTCGCTTTAAGTGGCTTTCAGTTACGTCCTGCGGCTTAGTTGGCGATGTTACCGCTTCGGTCCCTCGGTCTGTGACAATAAAAAAGCTGTTGTTCTTTTTCTATTTTTGTGTTGTAGCATTTTCCCCTTTTTGCGGTTCAAATTAGTGGCATCCGTGTTGGGTTTAGGATTCTGCGGTTTCCAGTCTCTGCGGTTAATCCGTTTGGGTTTTTTCCCCAAACTCCTTCTGTCGGTTTTTTTCCAACACATATGCGGGCGAAATAAATCATTTGCTAAGCCTTAAATTTCAACAATTTAGTTGCAAACGCAATCGGGCAAGAGAAACTTGCCGCAAAGAAAGCATTTTATAAGCGGATGATATCCGAAAGAGAAGACTAAATTTGTATGAAGATATGTGAAAAATTATATGCTTTAATCTAGAACACGCTTGGATTGATTAAATGGATTTTATATGGGTACCAAATAAAATAGTCGGAAGTTGGATTGTGACGGCTATAGTTTAATATTTTAAGTTGTAATATGTTTTTGTGTTAAAATAATTAGTATTTTATTATAAAAATATTATAGAAGTCGTCGCAAGCCCTTTAGATGGGTCTTTTTTTTCTTAAGCAAAGAAAACTGTAATTTTTTTGTTTATATACCAAATGTTTTTCTCAACATTTTCAACGTTTTGGCACAAGGAATTTCGTTTGAAAAACAAAAATTCACACAAACTAAATGACACATTGCAATAAAAATTGACAGAATAGTGGCTGAGCGTTGTGCCAACCTGGGAAAAAAATTTTTTAAATATTCTCAGAGGGAAAATTTAAAATGAGAATTATATAATACTGGAGTGAACACTTTTCAACTTTATCAGGTCTTAAATTAATAGCAGGAGTATACGGCTTTTACATTAAATTCATGAAAAAAATATTCTCCATCCGCAGGGGACATCCGGCGCATCTCGTCGAAGACATTTCCCGTGAGACAGGAGGCGGGAATGCCGAGGAGGCGGAGCACTACGATGAGCAGAGCGTCATCGTGCAACTGTCGGCAAGGGTCCAAGATGGAACCCGCTGTCGCTCCGGCAGCCTGGATATGTGCATCCAAGGAAAATGTCAGGTGAGTCCTATTTGGGCAAATTTTGGGGAAACAAGAGTCAGCGGGGGTGGGTGAAGCTTTCCCCCATTTTCTTCCGGTTCAAACCGACCCTTCCACCTGCTCCCAATCGGCTTGGCAAAATATGATAAATTACAATTTTGGAGGCGAGGTAGGCTTGGGCATTGGCAAAAGCCCTAACAGGCAAAAACAAAAGCTACTCTCACTACGGAGCTCGTCGGGAGAGCGTTAAGCATATGTATATGTATGTAGATTGCATAACACAAGCGTCTTTGTATCATTATGCTCCAGCGCATATATAAATCATTAAGTGGGCGACCGGAAAAGGTGGGCGGGGCAGGCAGGTTGCCACTGCCGTTACTGGTGCCGTCAAAAGTCAACTATTGAAATGCCAATAAAGCGTGCCCCAGGGCAATGGGTAGGCAACGGGTAGGCAACGGGTAGGCAACGGGAAGGCAACGAGTAGAGCGGCAACAAGAACTGCTCCCTGTGCCACGAAGTGCGCTTCAAAGTATGCTACTATATGTTGACATGGGTGCCGAGGGGTGGCCGAAAAATTTGTTTAGGGGTGTGAAGACTCTTTTTTGGCCAAGGAATGAAAGAATAAAGCGTCAGTTTCTTTTGTTTCGTAGAGTAAAAGGGAATATTGTATTTGTTGAAGAGTATGTAAAAGGTAGAAGGACATTTTTGATGAGGATCAATAAGCGAGTATAAACTTCGAGATCTTGGAAACTATAAAAGCTATTTGACATGCATATTCTAGTCATTTTTACCCAGCGCAAGTTTTTTTTTCCAAACGGAGTCACGCACACTTTAAGACATGTTCGGACATATCTATCGGTAGACACAAAATTTTCAAAATCGATCTATTATTTTAGAAGTTATTGGCTATTTTATTTTATAATGCCGTCACTGCATATTTGAAAAACGGAGTTCGTGTCTGAAAAACAACGCAGAGTGCACATTCTAATAAATGCTCGCACTTAGTTTGTGTGAGTAACTTGCAGGGGAAAGTTTGTTAATGTGTGTGTACCGACGCACTTAGTCTGGAATTCGCTAACAATTGTTACGTTCCTGTGAACATGTTTTTGGTGCTTTATTTTTTGTATAATGATAAAATTAATGTAATATTTCGCCGAAGTCTTTAAAGTAATACGTTAAATTTTTTGATGATATTTACGGGCAACCCTCGTCGGCCTGCAAAACCACTGCTCGGCAGGATTACAACTACAACAATGTCAAACGAAGTTGGCGACAGCCACAGCAGAGACGACAAAACTTGGATTCAGCCTGAGGGGTTTTTCTCTCGAACCGAATGTTTGAGTTTTGATTCAGTTTCAGTTCCAAAGAGCTGGCACACACGTACCTGCAGGCGTGTTTGCTTGGCTGTGGGAATACGGCATCTTATCCAAGTTTCGTGTAGCTTCTTGCTGTGCTGTAATGCCGCCAAATCGTCACACCAATTTGTTGTAATAAACGCCAATATGTCAAGCGGTTTACGTTGTGTTTTATTTGTCGCCAAACAGAGGGTGCGCAGCAGTACCGGCGTTGGCAGCGGCTAGAGGCATTCGTTATGTGAATACTTTGATATTTGTATATAGGTAGTATGTATATCTGTTCTAAATAAATCGAAGAGCTTGCTTCCTGCTTGTCGGCTTGTTATGCGAGCCACGGGCTATGCCTTTGCGTCTTGCGGTTACCATACACAAACCAGCCGAAAACCAGAAAGCCGACAAAAGTAACACTCGAAATCTGGGTGTCTGCATATGTTCTTAGCGTAGGTGTCCCGAATTAATGGAAAGTCAGAACTTCAATTTCGTTTTCCTTTTTATGGAGCTTTGCAGATGTAAATTGTAAATAGCTTTGGTAGTTTTGTTAAGGTGGGGATTTGAGCCGTTCTTGGGTTAAGAAACATTTTTTTAAGTTTTCTTCAACTCTTTATCTAAATAAATGTAATATAATTTGTGTAAGAAATTAAAATATTTAGTTTGCGAGATTTCTTAACTTACGTCCTAACTGCCGATGGATGACTTAAATCTTAAGAGTTTCAGGTTCAATGCACACTTTAATCAACCTTCAAAAAATATTCCGTTTTTTTCCAAAACAAAAAGGCGTACCAAGTATTTGTTCAAAGGGGCTCAAGTGCCCGTTTTTTTTTATACCCGTTACTAATTTAAGAATCAAATGCTCGCACTTATTGTGAGCAAGTTGCACGGGCAAATTTGTCAAAGTGTTTGCCGACAGCGGCTATGCACTGTTCGAGTCGGGCTCTGCCGGCCCTCTGCCGCTGCTCTGCATTTAATACGGTAGTTGGTAGCGAAGAGTGGTTTGCTGATCGGTTTTTTGCTTGTAGTATTGGCAATACAGTTTAGCAGATGACTCTAGCTGAAACCCGATTTTTTTCTGGGGGAATATTTATTTTGATATTTTTAAGCTGAGTAACGGGTATCTTATAGTCGGGGAGCTCGACTTCAGCGTTCCCTCTTGTTGTGTTTCTGCTCTATGCCTCTGATTATGTCAAGGATCCTTTCCCATTGATTTTCATATTTTTTGGTTGGTTCGCTATTGATACCACCAACAGTTGATTTACACATTATTTTCGCAGCCATTATTATTTACCATTTGTCTTTGACTGGTGCCTATCACAATCTAACGCCAGCGACCTGTCATCTCTTTCTAGCGCGTTGGCTGCGATTTAAAAATCGGCTCGACAAAGAAAATCGACGGTTGCGGAGTGTGCGGCGGCGATGGCAATTCTTGCTCCCAACCACTTTATTACTGGGAGATGGCACCGATGTCGCAGTGCTCCGTCACCTGCGGCGGTGGTAAGTTGAATTTTTATGTTACCTGCCATTTCTTACACAGAGAAAATAAGCTGTATTGAATAAACAATACTGAGAGAAAGCTACGATATGCGATTTTTTGTAGAAAGCCCATTAGTTTTACCAAATTAGTCTGATGTAAAGTCAAATATCGGTGACCATTTACTCATGTTTGAAACAACGCAAAGAAAAGGCACTATCCTAAAGTCTGAGATAGTTTACTACATGTCAAATGGCTAATCCATTATTATATCCTTGCAGAATGTATTATGAAATTGTAAAAATGGCTTCTTATCTTGTCGGTCGGACGACTAATTGGTTTTATATCATGCTTTGCTTGCCTATTATACTGGATCCATCCCTTGACTGCAAGGGTGTTAAAACTTTGGCTTTCCGAAGTTAGCTGCCGTTATCCTTTTTTATCAGCTTCAATAGCCGAGTCGATTTATCCATGTCCGTCTATCTGTCCGTCTGTCTGTCTCTCCTTCGCCACCTTACCTGCGATTGTGTTATGGGCGAACAATTATTCTGAAATTTGTTATCTGAGTAACGGGTATTTAACTCGACTAAAGCGGTCTTTCGTATTTTTTCTTAGTGTAGCCAGTCTACTGTCACCGATGAGCGGCTGTCTTTGCTATCTTTAGTATAAATAAACAAGTGGCGAGCTCTTGGCGTGCTTGGCTGCCGTTTGTAATCCCTTCCTCCCACTTTTTCCTCTACCGAAGAGTACTGTCAAATTTCTTTGTCTTTTGTGTTCGTAAGTGTGTGTGCAGGAGTCAGCTATTTGTCGTGCTCATTTATTTTCATTTAATTGGAATTCGTTTCGATTGAATGTTTGCATGGTAATCGAGAGGTAGCAGATATCCGTTCCCCACTGAAAATGGTGGTTGTAAACTGTGTTCCTTTCGTTTGTCCTTGTAGCTACCTGTAGATGAATGATTATCCAGGGGATATAATATATTTGAAGCTTAAGTTTGTCAAATAAGCTGAATTCAGACTTTGGTTAACTTTCATGATGCAACCAAGCCATAAATTGGACGTCTAAGTTACCTTTTCTGAGTTAAATAGAAAATTTGGTTTTGGAGTGCAACGTGATGAGGAATAAGGTAATAAAAAAGTTCACATTAAAGACCATAGTTAAGTACGAAAACTAATGGTTTAGGGGTTTCCACCGTATAAGTAGCTCGGGGACTTCATCAAGTAAAGGTGTGTGCAAACAGTGAGTTAATAGGAACTCTAATTAACAAATTAAGCGGTGCGTTCGGGAATTATCAGACGGAATTTACAATGTGGACTTGATAAAAGCTTTTAGCTTTCACCTTTTGTTAATTGCTCATATTTTCTTTTTGCACCTATTCATCATAAATTATAAAACAACCATTAGTTTAATGATATGCACTGACTGTTAACTACATTTTACCTGCCAACTCTTGTTTACCCCATCAATCTTGGGGGAGAATTAAAATCGAGGCCAGACAAAATTTATTATGAAATATTCGAGATACGCAACCGTATAGCTATGGAACAATATTATCGGTGACTGGCTACCAAAGTAAACTTTAAGTCGTTCCGTTTGCTTTTATTCGCTTGGACGTTCAAGTGTCCTATAAATTTTTAATCATTATTTGGTTCGGCTTTTCCCGGCCATTAGCCTGTCAGAGATAAGTTGTCCTTTGCTCTGGCGTAATGCCAGTTGGATATTCTGAAGTACTTTTGGAGCAGACGTTTACTCAGGCATTATCCAGCGACAAATGGCAAAATCAATTTCTAGCTTCCTCCCCCAGGTTAATTGCAGTATCGTTAAGGGCGGTCGTCTTCAGCAAGAGTGACCTACTCAATGTTGGCTTGACCAGTTTGTAATTACATTTCATTGTGTCTGTCTATACTTAGTTTTTAGATGTCAGTTAAATGTCAAGTGCACTGCAGAGTCTCTTTGGGGGATTTCCTAACTGCCTTCCCACCCTCAAATAAATGCTCACCTGTGGACTCCGACTCAGTGTGATTTTTTTTGTAAGGACATCGAAATGCTTTTACTTATGTTCGGTGCTCAGTTCCCCTCTCCGGGTATATAATTGCACACATTTCACGAAATCAATTGTACTTAATTATACATATTTGGTTGGCTAGTTTCTCAGTTGGACAACTGCAGTTTTTATGTACGTGACAGGATTTCCAACTGTCTGTTGCAAAAACTTGCCTCATTCTCGATTTTTTTCACGATCCACTCCTGCTGAGTTGTCTAATACAGTTTGTTCTGAACTGAAAACACTTAATCTTGATTTAATTGACTGTTGTTATACCCGTTACTCGTAGAGAAAAGAGATATTGTATTCGTTGAAAAGTATGTAAGAGGTAGAGAAAGCGTTTCCGACCCTATAAAGTGTATAATTTCTTGATCAGGATCAAATGTCGAGTCTGTCTATCCGTCAATATGAACGTCAATATCTCGAAAACTTTAAAAGTTAGAGATCTAAGCAGTGCAAGTTTATTTCCAAGCGGGGCCAGAAAACTTAATGCCTCACTAGATTTAATTATAAATAAAAAAAAGGGTAAGAAATCACATAAAACTAACGGCTTAAAATTATCAATTAAAGTGGTCTTGGATTACAAATATGCGTTTTAAAGATCACCCTCACTACTGACCAAAACGAAAAAAAAGATTAGATGAATGAGCGAAATATACAAGCGCGAATAAAATCAGAAGGACGAATGGATGATTAAAATCTGCTGGGTTTTGTGGCTTTCAGGGTCTCAAAACTGAGTGCTGGGTTCTGTAAGCGTTACAAATCCAATGGATCATGGACGGGATTTTGTTCGAGTCGTGCTCCTGCGCCACTCACATTCCTGTCGCCGTCCTTCATAACTGCAGTCTGACTCTGGGGATGACTTCTCTGTGGAATTCGACAATTGACGTTAATGCCATGAGAGGATATTACCAATTGCCTTAAGCCAATTGTGCCATGAATACGCAGTCAGCGGGAGGAGAAGCTGATGAGGATAAGTCCGAGAAGCTCAATGACGATGACACTGTCATGGCCCCCACCAACACACACTGGCAATGAAGCTTATAAGCGCAGTTCAATAGCTGCAAAATCAGCGTCACAGCTGCTCACCCAGGGAGTATTCATACCAAAATCGGATGCAAGGGCACCAGAACGTATCCGAGGGCTAGAAGCTTCCAGCGATTTTTCAAACTGACAGATCGTTATGACGTTATGCATTGTTCGACTCCCTTGTTTCTGCTCCCCCTAACCTCCATCGACTTTGGTCCTTCGTTGGCTGCATTTCGCCATCTGCCAATTTCCGTTTGCGCTTTTGGGAGTTTTTCCCTTCTAACATCCCTTTGACTTGGTCAGATGCCCGTTTCTCTCCAGCTAGCAGCTGACATTTAACCCATTTAGTCTGAGAAATGGTATTGACCACTAGGACTTTGTACCTTAAAAAAATAAATCTAAAATCTATTGTTTTTAAATCTTTACAATTTAAAGAACTAATAAAACCGGCAATGTAGCCCAGTATTTAAAGGGAAATATTTAAGTTATTTATAAAAAAAAATTTAAACTGGATTGATATTACGTGTACTGCTATTTTCTTTCTTTGATTTATTTATATATTCCCAAACTATTGATGTACACTCTCAAATTTATTTATTTGGTTAAGCTACAAGCAGTACACTTTCTGTATTTTTCTGCGACCGTCTTAAGTGCCTTAAGTGGCATTAAAGTTTCACAAGCAGTCCTCTTCCCCCTTTTTTACACCACTCATTTTCGGCAGCTCTTGACTTTTATTGATTTTAAAGTGCATCTGAAAACGAAAAGAAAAAGGAAAAAATTAAAACGAAAGCAAAAGCAAAAAACAAAAAGAAAATTTTGCTGTCGTCTGGCAGTCGTATACGATTTCCAATTTTTCCCTTTACTAACATTCCTTCTTTCTTTTGTCTCCTGACTCGTTTTTGAACCGCCGCAGGTTACAAAATGGCTCGTCCTTTATGCAGGAATCGTCTAACCAACGCCGATGTCGATGATACGCTCTGCAGCCTTACTAATCGCCCGGAGGCGTCGGTGGAGCAATGTAATACACACAGCTGTCCTCCGCGGTAAGTACTCGTTTCTGTCGGGCATGGCTGTCAGCCATCGGCCACCACAGTTGGCTGACTCCAACTTCAATTCCACCAAAACATACTCTTTAAGCAGCCGCAGCTATATGACTTTCTCATGTCTAATACAGTTTAAAATTATAAAAAATAAGTTTAATTATTTTTATCATGTGACGATTACTATTATTTTACTTACAAAATTTACTTTATTTTTATTTTCTATTTTATTAACTTCTTATTTGGCACTCTGGAATATGGAATTTTTTCTCAACCATATCCAACACCTCCAGTATTTGCAAAATGTTCTTTCGCATTTTCAACACATTTTCTCCTGAACCAATTGACTTTCTAAAAGTCTTGTATAAAAGCTATACATTTCGATTGTTGTATAATTTTTTAAGATCAGACTGAATTTGGCTGATTCTCAATATTGCGGCTTTATAGTCTCCTTGCGCACTCTTTCCGCTGCTCAACGTCACTACGTGGACGACCGTCCACAGTGGCTATGAATCACGTTAAAATACACTTCTATTATTAACCACAAGAAAATACAAGTACATAAAAGTGCGCAAAGTCGGTTCAAAACGAGTATATCATACAGCTCCCATGGGAAACAAAATATTAAAAAAATTAATTAATGTCAAAATGGAAAGACAAAATGGAAAGACATTTTATCAGCTTAAATAATGTTTTCTGAAAAGAGTGACTAAAACGTTTGTCTCAGTGTAGATTAAGCTATTGTCTCACCTGGCCAGCTATAAATTTAAATTGCGTCGATTATCGTGTGCACGTTTTGATAGCCATCCCAAGCACACTGTTATTGCCCAGGAGCCGAACGGGGACATAGTATCATGACGCTGGGGGCGCATTCGTCCTTCGGCCTTCCTTTTTTGCTCCTTTTTTTGGCTGGCACACTCACGTTTGTTTATCGTTTGGTGACATTTTGCTAACCAAAACCAGAAAACAAAGCGAACCGAATGTGAGTCAAAAGTCTACGGAATTCTAATCTCCGTCTTTTGCCGTGAAGTAGAATTCTTGTTTATTGGGTATTGGGTGTAGACTTCAATTATGTTTTAGGTTTTGTCTATCTGGACTTCTGGATTCTTCGCTCTCCGTTTTTTATTAAAGTTAATTTATCGTTCAGTCTATATGTAAAAAGTGAAAATAAATAACAAATTTATTATGTATTTAAGTGTTCTGATTGAACAGATAATTTTTTACATTCATATTTTAATTATTTAAATCAAAATTCCTTAACGTTACAGTTTACCCGCAGTTCCAGCTGCATCGTTCAGTTCCTTTAGATGCCAACGATTTACCGCTGTTAAACAGCTAATAACAGTATAGTTAAATTTTAGTCCTTTCCTTCCGCCATATAATTTCTCTTTTTGCACACCCAATCGCAAGATTTTACGGTTGAACATATTTGACAGCGTGTGAATTTTTTTTCCACTTAGAGCTGTTTGCCATTTTTCATTTATTTGCTGTTCTGCTAATTCACGAGCAACGCCCACTGACCAATTGCATTTAACCTCTGAAATTTGCAGCTGGATAACCGACGATTGGAGCACTTGCAGCCGGCTATGTGGCCACGGCTACCGTGAACGGATGGTTGTCTGTGCCGAGGAATCGAACGCCATCAAAACGAGGGTGAGTGAAAAGGCCAATCCAACGGATGGCCGAAAAAGTGTCTGGCTATTACCTGCGGCGCCACCTTTTGCCGCCGCTAATTTTGGCTACGGGAACGGGAAGGAGTGCAACACATTATTGTCATGTTTTCTCACACTTCCCCTCACTCCCCAACAGGTTGCCGATATCATGTGCCGCACACCCAAGCCGGCAACACAAGAGACCTGCATTATAGAGGAGTGTCCGCATTGGGAGGTCGAGGATTGGACCGGCGTAAGTACCTTAGCACCTCAGCCCACATCCCAGCCCGTCGTGCACTAATCGTGCACTTTCTGTGCTGCAGCCAGAAAAAGTGGAGTACCCAGACGTAGACGTGGCAAGTTACACGTTGACGAGGCTATGTCTGGGCCCTTTGTGTATACTTAGCTAAATGTCTGGGTTGCTGCTACTCACTGCTGCTTGCTTGCCCCTAGGATTTGTCAGAGGCATAGCGCCTACATAACCGCTTTTGCGTAGTTGGTTTTGGGACTTTACTTTGCGAGGACTAGGCATTCTGCGATTTTTTAAAAACTTTAAATATATTCAATACAATGGTTTCAGGAAAGGTAAACTGGTTTTAAAGCTACATTATTCCTATCATCTAAAATTTGTGTTATAACATTTCCGCTTTCTATTTCTTTTTTTAGTAAGTTAGCTAGCTGAAGTCTTATTACAATTAATTCTGTTTATATAGGTGATAAGTAATGACCTTTATTGACTCAAAATTACTTGTTACTTATTATTCTGTAAGAGCATTCGTCGTTCGAATAAGACAAGTTATTTTCCTTTCTTGTTAGTCGCTTTCCGTATTTAAACATACTTTCCTTAGTGGCTCTTTATAAGCCGCTAGCCGCTAGACTGAGTCTGAGACTGAGTTTGGGCTGAGACACCCTCCTTCCACTCGGAAATATCCCTAGCCATACAACTTAATCAACTTGGTGGCGGAGACTCGGAGTGGCTGCTTAGTTTGTCTGGTCGCCCTCTTCCCTTTCCAGTTTGAGTGACCAACTTCGAATTCACTCACACACAGTTTTCACTTTGGTTGCTGTTCATTTAAACTGCAACTTTATTAATGTACCATACGTGTATGTGGCGGGACTTACGACGACCGCCTGGGGGTGTCAAGTTATGTGTTGCTTAATTGAATTGTCTTAAGTTTTTCGTCTGGGTCTTACTTTTGGGGTGTCTTAAAATGTAATTTTTAGATTGGGGTTGAAGTTTAAATAAAATTTCAGTTGTCCTGGATTAGAAATGAGACGTTGGCTTTATTAAAATTTGCCTAAGGAGGGAAACATTTAATTAAGTCTGGTAAAAACAGTCATACGAAAGTCATTCAAAGTAATATAATTGAATAGATTGATTGCCTTACAGGGGTTTCAGAAAGTTTCCTTTTCGTGTGCTGAAAACTTTATTTGTCAATTGCCTTCTATTAAAGAGCTGGTACAGTTCGCCAAACACAATTAAAATAAAGATTCAAAGCTATTATCTTTTCAACGTTTCCGCTAATTGAAAATAAATGAGTTTAAACTACCTAACTTCAGCATATTAAAAACATAATGAACTTTACAAATAAAATAAAACTTCCTTGCCGATTTCATACCCTTGCAGAGGGTATTATAATTTTAGTCAGAGGTTTGTAACACAGTGAAGGAGACATCCGACCCAATAAAGAATTTATATTCTTACATTCAGCTAAACAAAGAGAGTCGATCTAGCCATGTCCGACTGTGCTTTAGTCTGCTCGTCCGTCTGTCCATCGTCTATCCGTTAGTCTGTCTCTATGAACGTCGAGATTTTGGAAGCTACAAAAGCAAGAGGTTTGACATGCAAATATGCCTACAACGCAAGTTTAAAATCTGTCATGTTACTATGAGACATTTTAGAGATTCGATCATATCTATACATATCGGTAGATACAAACATTTAAAAATCGAGCTATTAATTCATGCTACTTCATTTTTGAAAAACGGAGTTCGTGCATTGAGACCATTGTAGTGCAGTGGAGACACTCATACTATGAAATGCTAGCACTTTATTTGTGTGGTTTATTTAGACTAAAAAACTTCTCAATGTGTGTGTACCGATAGCGGTCTTATACTGTTCGTGTCGTACTCTGCCGGCGCTCTGCCACTACTCTGTATTAGAAAGTGTCGTTGTTAGTGGAGGGTTGCTTGCTGCTCGGTTTTTGCTTGTAGTATTGTCCATGTATTACGGCCGATGGCGCCAGTCTATTGTTTTTTTTCGGGGAATAATTATTTAGAAATTTGTTAGCTGAGTAACGGGTGTCTTTAGCCTTCCCTCGTGTTTTGTTTACAAACTCTTTTGTGTGAAAAGGTCGCCGCAAAACCTTTTAGTTAGACTATCCCCGTTTTAAATGAATTTAAACGGGTGTAAAGCATTAGCCAAGTGAGCCTACTAAAAACTACGGTATTGTTTATGTCCATTAATAAAATATATGCCACAAATTAAAGCGCCATTAAAGCTGTGAGTGGAAGTAGGATGCTGTGGGATTACCCCAATAAAAAATGGTGATGAAGCTGGGAATGTTACACATACGCCTCGTGGCACGACAAAACGCAAACAATATAAGATTTGCATTTGTATGCAGGGCAGCATGGGGCTCAAATGTTTGCGTGTGTGTGTGTGTGGGTGGGGCGTTAGAGAGTCTCAGTAGGGTTTGCCTTTTTGTTTTTTAGCCGCATCACTTAAAACATTTGCGAAGGAGCAGACTTCTCTGTCATGCTGCGGCTCATCCTTTGTGCAAACAAATGCCCTTTTATGACAGCAAAAAGGGAACGTATTGAAATAATTTATAATGCTCACGGAAATTCCCCCAATCCCTGCAACCCACAGTGCTCGGTTTCCTGCGGACAGGGAATACAAATGCGAGGCGTCGAGTGTAAGTCGACAGACGGCAGCCTGAGTGCCAAATGTGATCCACTCACCAAACCGGGCAGCATGCAGCAGTGCTCCACTGGCATCCACTGCGGCGGAGGCGGTGGGTCAGCGAACAAAGGTGTTGGCACCATCATCGTGGGCAGCAGCCGGTCGCTGAACGAGGTAAGCCTGTCAAAGATCCTAGCGATTTTAACATCAACGAAACTTACAATTCCCATCTCAGCGGTCGGAGCGACAGATGGACAGCTCGGATGCGGATGACGACGACGATGACGAGGACGTGGATGATGAGGCCGAAGATATCGATGACCTGGAATCAGGCCAGGATACCGATGACGGCGAGGGCTTGTCCTATGCCGACCAACCCTTGCGCTATGCCCATCGCACGCAAAGTCGGCTGCAGCAGGAAGCCCCAGATGAGCCGCGCACCATGCGGCTGATGAACGGAAATTCGAATAATAATTATAACCGAGGAAATGGCGGATCAGATGTTCCCTCAATGGATCCCACGTAAGTAGGGCTCTATCCTTTACTATTAAGAACTGGTAGTTGTATATTTTCTTGGGCTCTACCTGGCGTTGCTTCTGGCTTCACCTGGTTTTTCAGCAAATTTAAAGTACATATAATCACAAAAAAATAACAACTAAAATGTTAGCGCGTAAAAGAAAAATTTTTTGTAGCGATAGGCAAACGCTCTTAAGAAGACCATACGAAAATACAATTAGCCTTGCGTAGATAAAAGTGCTGAAAATCAAAAAAAATTCTCACTTTGAGTCGCATATTGTTATGGTTGAGTTCCCCGACAACAACATTTTTGAATATTGATGGTCTTTATTGAACATTGAGTAGCTTGTCGCCTGTGTCAATAATTATTGTAAGTACCAAATTTATGTCCCGTCTCGGTGGAGTTAACCTTCCCTAGTCGCTTGGGAATTGGCTCACTGTGCTTTCCAGGGGCTTTTGTCTTGAGCCCACTATCTGGATTGCAGCCAGAGCGGAGTTTCTCGCTCCTCCGGGCACTTCTTCTGCTCCGAAGCCAGCACTTGACATATTTCAGCTTTAGTGCGTCGGGAGGTCCACCTCCGCGTGCTTCTCCGCTATCTTCACCCACTTATTTGCCTCTCGAGTCAACTTGGCTCAAGCACTTGGCCAACACACCAGCCAACATTGCCCCTCTTCATGACTCATCATAAGGTCCTTGGGCATTGTCGACACCTAAAGTTAAGACTTTTGGACAAACTCACAAACCCACGTCCTTGGGCAGGAGCCGGGAATGTATCGACTTGGAACCGGAGTAGATTGTAAGTACGGCAAAGTGCGCCTAATGACAATAAAAGTACCGCTTTGACGTGCCCATTTCATTGTTATTGGAAAACGATAAAAATTCGGCTGATAAGCCTGGTCAAACATATCAAATTGTGGACTCAGTTCAACGAAAAGTACCTCTTAGGCATACACACACTTTAATTACCCAGCGAAACAAAAGAAATTAATCTAAATGAAATCATTAGAATCGAGTGGCCAAATCCAAGTATTTTTGTCGGATAATTGGAGCGTGGGGAATACTTAGCCCAAATAATAAATTACCCACTGATTGGAAATTCCTATCCACTTGTCAATTGGGGTCGGAGTACCAGTAAATTGTTCTGGTCAATTGCCAAGCAAAGAAAATCTATACATCTTTATTTAAGAATCTTTCACATTACCCAGACTTACGAAAGACGGAAAGGTGATCCTGAAAGACGATCGTAGGAGTGCTATTGACTTGTTACATTGTTATTAAATTATAATATTGTTTGAAATTGCAATTGTATTAGAGTGCCAATCCTGAATTTGAATGTAGTTTACTCACAGTAATGTTTAAAATCCAAATATTAAATAATGCGCCTTTTTTTCAATACATTTAAAGAAGTTTCATTATGAAATTAAAATTAAAACCATGGACCGTTGCCAAAAAAGTAACAAAATGCGGCGTTTTATTTCGCTAAAAAGGCATTCAACTTATCTTCTCTGATGGTTTTCTCTTGATTGTTTGTTGTTACGATGCCCACTAAGCTGAAACTATTCGAGCCTGGCGCCGCCATAAAGTCGCGTCTTGATGCCGCCACTAGAACCTTGGCCTCCGAAGCCGATGCGGCAACAATAAAGGCCATGAAGAGATTGTCGATGGCAGCGTGCCAGGCAGACAAACAACAAAAATGGGAAAAGATACGAGCAAACAAAGTTCTGAACACACGCCTGGCCTACGCGGCACGTTGGTTATGAAATCAGCAGCAGCACACCGAAAAAATATGCATTGTATCAATACCATTTGGTATTATACAATTATTTACTAAACTTATTAAAAGTCCTAAAATTTGAAATCTTTGAAAAAGTAGTGAGACACAGAAATAAAAACTAAACTAGGCTAATAGTGCCTATAATGATTATTAAAATATTGTTTTCAAAAACAACTATAGCTGTCCCACGCTTAAAAACATTAGTTTATCTTTATAGGACCTCCGGCATTGTACAAAGTAACTTCAAATAAATTAAAAAATATAAAATCTTTAAGGGGACATTTAAATGGAGACAGTCTTAAAAGTCAATAATCAGTATAGGTACTTTTACCCTATTTCCTGAAGTAAAGAAATTCCCTTAATGACCATTTTAGGTAAGATTATTTCTCTGTGCAGTCTGCAAGCTGACCTACTTAGAGAGCCATGCTGAGATGTTTGCGGCCATTTGGCGCCACTTTAATGCGACATTCGCATTTACAATTTGACTACAAATCAATAACGGGTAGAAACGCTCCTGTCCAGCGGATTTGTCAACTTCTGACCCCTAATCCATTTCTGTGGACTGTCGGCGAAACCATAAAACCACTTCAGGCCACAAAACAATGCCCGAGCACTATAGTGCCTGCGGGCGCTTACTCGACTTGCCGCAAACGATTCATTCACGTAGCACTCTTTTTGGGGCCGAGCGTAGAGGGCTCAATAAATATGTGTCCTGGCATTGAATGAAATGCAATGTGTGGGACGTGGCGAGGTCTATTGTTGCACGGAATTTGTTTAGCTATGGACAAAATGGAAGATAGGGACTGCGAAACTCTGTGGGATAGAGCAGGACGATGGTTTTTTTGATTCAATTTACGTGCGTGCGGCTAAACGTGGAAAGGCATTGCCCATGGATCACGGCATGTGTGGACGCTGGGTTTTCTTTTTTTGTTTATGTTTGTAAAGCGGTGGAGTTTTGTTTGGGAGTTTTTAAACGGTTGTTTATTATTAAACGTTTATTTTAAAACGTAGGTTCTAAAAAATGTATTTATAAACAATAGATTCGAACATTAAAATCTTATTTTAAATCTGTGAGTCCAACTTATCCATTTCATTATACTCTTACAAAGTGAGTTTTAATTTCAGTCAGAAGTTTGATGGAGTCATTTCCGACCCTATTTATATTTCAGCATCAGTAGGAGATTCGGTCCGTCTGTCCGTCCGTCTGTCCGTTTCTACGTAAACTAATCTCTCAAAAGTTGCCTTTTTTGGTAGTAAATAAGTCGAAACAAGCCGGATTACAAATATGCCTTAAAGAATATTTAATTTGTTCAATAGCTGCGATGGTTTAAACTTGCGAAAATTGGCTTCCTTTCTTGTAATATACTTAAATTTACTTCGTGTTTTTTTTTTTGATTATATGAAGTGCACGGTTCAAAACTAAACAAAACCAGTTATTTATTAACTTTTTTGATACTCGTATACTGCTTGGCGACTACAAAAAAATCCTGCTTCGTATTCCACAGCTTCATCAAGGATACTGACTGGTCACCATGCAGCGTGACCTGCGGCGAAGGCGTCCGTCGACGCTCCTACAACTGCAAGATATTCCTGGAGTACTCTCGAACGGTGGCCACCGTGAATGATTCACTGTGCGAGGGGAAAAAGCCACATGACGAGGTGGAGCGATGTGTGGAGGATCCGTGCATGCTGCCCTCGCACGGCTTCGACGACCAGTATCCCCGGGACTCCATCAAAGTGGGAGTCTCGGAGCCAGGGAAGACGTACGTCTGGCGGGAACAGGGCTACACTTCCTGCAGTGCCTCTTGCTTGGGAGGTGTGGAGGAGCTGATCATCAACTGCGTGCGGGAGGATAATGGTCGGGTAGTCTCGCCCTTCCTCTGCGCCCCGGAGACCAAGCCGGAGGCGAGGGTTCGCACCTGCAACGACCGTCCCTGCCCGCCCAGGTGGAACTATTCGGACTACACGCCTTGCTCCAAGAGCTGCGGCATTGGCATCAAGACGCGCGAGGTGCAGTGCATCCACGAGGTAACCCGTGGAGGGGACAACACAATGGTGGTGCCGAACAGCATGTGCCCACAGCCGCCGCCCGCAGATCGCCAGTACTGCAACGTGCTCGATTGCCCCGTTCGGTGGGAGGTGGGTGAGTGGGCCAAGTGCTCCCACACCTGCGGCTACGGGTTCAAGGATCGCAAGGTCGAGTGCAAGCAGATAATGGCCCAGGAGCACAAGATCGAGCGACCCGAGTCGATGTGTCCGAGTGCCAAGCCGGCGGACAAGAAACCCTGCAACGTTAAGCCCTGTCCGCCAGAGGATCCTAAGCCGGTCATCCAGATAAACAACTCGACCCACATCCAGCACGACCCCAAGAAAACCAAGATCACGCTCAAAGTGGGCGGTGCGGGGGTGGTTTTCTTCGGCACTCAGGTTAAGATCAAGTGCCCCGTGAAGCGGTACAATCGCACCAAAATCAAGTGGAGTAAGGACCACAAGCCGCTGCAGCGTTCGCGCAAGTTCAAAGTGTCGAAGAAGGGTGCCCTGCGTATACTTGATATCACGTTTCGAGATGCCGGAGTCTACTCCTGTCACGCCGGACTCAGCTCCGCGGAAATAAGCATCGAGGTGAAGGCCAAGCCAGGCCAGCAGGCCGAGGAGCTTGAGCGCCAGGAGGCAGGTGAGTAATCAGGGTTGGGTGATGGTCCAAACAGTAATGGGAATAAGCTATTCTTAAAGGGTGAAAAAATTGAAACTATATTCATCTAAATTTAAGACAGGTTGAACTTACAAAATAAAATAAAGATAAGCTTTATATATAAAATTATTCTGCAAGTGTGTTGATAGAGAACTCTTCCTAAACGCTTGAACCGATTTGAATGAATTCTTTGTGTATGTACAAAATATAAATACAAAATCAGGTACAAAAATATAAATAATTCAGAATTCACTATTTACCCAGAACCGTAGGTGAAATAGATCGAAAAAGGACAATGAAAATGTAAGAAATCAGGCTGCAATCTAATGAAAGTCAAGAGTATCGCAACGAACGCCAGAACAACGTCTCTCGGGCCCGCTGGTATCGTTATATCGAAGTAAATTTATTGTACGGTGATTTCCTAGTGTGATTTCAATTGGAAATTATTATAAATAATATCTCGTTCTCCAATTTAAAAAAGCTTTGCCTGCCCATCACTGTCCCTAATGAGCTTGTTCGTCTAAATGCTTAATTTCCCCTGATTTTTCCCAGATCGCTTGGTGCGTGAGCGAAGCGGCACGGAGGCTCTTACCTCTGCGGACATGACGTCATCGGGTGCAGCAGGCTCTTCCGGTGGACCTGGAACTGATGGACCCGCTAATGGGTAAGTGAAGCACCCGTCGTGCGACCTTTACTGAGAATTTTCAACGGTCAACACTTTACTTTGGAGCAGGTTTCGTTTGAAGAGGCTTCACATTTTGAATTACCTTGATTGGTTTAGATACTGGTTTCTGGAAAAATAAATTCGGGCAACTGGGCCATTTCATTCGAAAGGGTTATTTATTTAAGTAAATATTTCGGAGGTAAAGTGTTTGTGCAAAAAACATGGCACGAAGGTTATTTATTTTCAAAGGGGCTGTAAAAATCTTGAGCTGAGTGCAGAGTTGTATTTCCCTCTTTGGTTTAACTTAAATGTCAAAAATTACTCTACATTTTTAAAGAATGAAATCTAAACTTTAAAGTTGGCGTTAATATATATATAAATATATATAAATATAAATATTATAGCAGTGGCTTGTAACTCTTTCGACAAATGGTTTTATTTGTCATTCTTAGACTTGGAACAATAATTAACAACAAATTACATTAACTATAAATTTTCTCATCTTAAATTCCGAATTCAAAAAAATGGTTAAGAAGTTGCCCCAGGAAATGGGATAACAGGGCTAGAAAGCTTTTTCCTGAGATATTTGCAAATGGCGCTTCATATTATAAAGTTACTTATAAAGTCCATTTTCACATCTTCTCTTTCGCCAGCATAAAGCAAATTGACAGTTTTTCTTGTGCACTTTGCATTTGCCCCTTTGCCGACGTTCAACCAGCAGCCTAACAACAACCTTGCCCCAACCCAATCCCTGGCTCTATACCCCTTCGGCCCTGGGCCATTTAAATTGCAAGTGCCTCTGCTGTCCAGTTATTACCGGCTGGTGCTTTCGTATCTTCTTTTTCTTTTTCTTGAGTCGAAGTGTCAGTTCCGCTTGAGAACAGGATGGCGGATACAATATTAGGGCCTTTTCAGCTACAGTAAAGTGGTAACCGCTTAGTGGTGGTCAGTCATGCACTTGCTTCTTCATCCTGTCTTGTTTTTATCTAGCTACTTTTTCGATTCATTCCATTGCAGTCCTTATTCGCCCATCTTTGCTGCTTCCGTCTACGTTGCGTATGCGTGTTATCGTTGATTGTCGCTGTCTTAGTGTTTCATCCGGCAAACCTTTCTCGATTATACTGCACTCCTGGTTTGTGTTTGTATTTGCTTTTCCTGTGCATTAAAGTTTAATGTTGATAAACAACAACTTAAAATAACGGAAACAAAACAAACATTAAGTCAATTTTATGGTTGCTTAGTTGGCTCAGCTTTGCGTATACTCTTCCCCTCTTATAATTGAACCACTAACAAAAATTACCTGTGACACTCTATACCTACTAGCTTGAACTAAAGAATTAATACATTAATTATCATAAAATTCAAGCAAACGCAAGTCTATTGCCTGGCAAGTTGGCAGATAAGTTCCGCCTTTAGCTTTCGGCTTTTTCATGATATTTAAAGGCATACAAAAGTTGTTCTGCGGACGATACTTATTCTGGAGTTGAAAGCGCTTAAATGCTACCTGCTTGGTTAGCTTAGGGCCCTCCCTCGACTGCTGCTTGCAACTTCACAGTCTCTTCAACATTTAACTCTATTGAGTGCCCTATTCACGAGCAAACCCGCTGCCAAACACTCTTTGGCACCCCCTTTTTTCAACTCCTTCTCCCAAACTGAGTTTTCAACGCACACGTGTGTGCGGTTTATTTCGCAATTTGGGTTACGTGTTTGGTTGGACTTGGAGTTTAACATGCCAAAAATTACAGAGACATCTGCTTACATAGTTGTGCAATTTATATATATGCCTGTATTGGGACAACAATCCATATGTTTGTAATCGTGCAGTACCTCTGCTTAGTGTAAATGGTTAAAAGCAAACAGCCAACAGCAAAATGCATTTTGACAAAGCCGCAGACTTTTCACCACCCTCGCAAATAGCACCGCACACAGCCAGGTTTTCAAATTTACGGCGGTATTTCTGGTTTTCAAATGCATCATCAACTTTGTCGTTGGACGTGAAAAGCGTGGCACAACTTTTGACGTCGGCTATAGAAACTAAATATCCAAATGTAACTCTGTGCACAGGAAAAATGAATGCCTGTATTTGATCGCAATTTTAATATTTAAAATACATATTTTATATCCTTTCAGTTGAGAAATGTTTGCCCTCATCGTGCTTTTTTCTTATTTTATTTTTCGAAACGTTGCACACACACTGAACACTGAATTTTTGTCAATTTTTCGCAGCATGGAAAAATATGCAAATATTTGCGAGAAGGGTTGGAAGAGGCTTTGCTTAGTGAAATGGCTTTTGGTCTTTTGACCGGCACTCGCTGCGGGCATCCAATGGTTTTTTGATATATTGTCTCTGTTTTTTGCTTTTAAATTGTTATTTTTGTTGCTCTAAAAGAGGAATTTAAACATGGGTCTGCAAGAAAATTGCAGCACAAGAACATACAAACAAAGTGAAATTTTTTGAACAAATAAAAGTCGAGGCAAAAGTAAATTGACTAGTCAAAATTATGCTTTAAATTTGGAGAGTAGTTGAAATCCATATTGGCGCCAAAGTTACAATCCCAGGATTACAATAAAAATAAAAGCTCAACAAGAAAAGATTGTAAGAACGCATACGATGAAATTCATTAAGGCCCCATCTTCGTCTGCAAATACAACTAAAGCAATTAAGAACAAAGAAGGGCTTTTAATCAATTTCAACACAAGGGGACTTTCGAAAACCTTTCCATTAAAATTAAAGTTGTCTTTTTCAATCACCGTACAAACAATTTATTGTTAGAAAAAAGATCATAGGGTTCATAAGAATGTACTCGTGCGGCCAGTTTAAAGGTATTTCCTTTCACCACCTTTTACTCTGGAAAAATGCTACTTACAACGAGCTTACAAAGGTCCTTTTGCTTGGGATGGGCCAGGGTGGAGTTAAGTCAAGAAAGGCCACTATGAAATGGCCCTTGACAGGGCTTTGTGAGTGTGGGAACGGAAATCTGCATTTGACATCTTACAGGTCCTCAGCCAAACCGCAATTCTGGTGTGGCATTAGCCGCTTGGTTTTAATGTTCCCCGCTATCTTTTCAAATTTTCCAGGTCTACGCAGCAGCAGGGCACACGTCGCAGACAGCAGCAGTCGGAGCGCTTGCAGAACGGCAGGGAGCGGAACCGGAGACCCAAGTCGGACGGAGTTCAGCATGCAGATAGCAGCATTATGGAGGACGATGTGAGTAGTGCTCCCATACGTTATGATTGTCCCACTCGATCAACGTCATTGCCGGGCTTACGTTTTAAATATGTTCCGGAAACGTGCGGGAACGAATGGGGCGCGAATGTGGTGGTCCCACGTTGTCCCTTCGTAGTTTACACAATTTCATTGTGTATTGGATTTGCGGTCTCAGTCGCTCCCTTTCGCCCTGTGTCAATTTCTACGTAATTTGATAGTTTTTCCACTTGGCTTTCCCCATTTCGTTTGGGTTGCTTCATATCAACAGAATAAATATCTGTGCAAACTGTTGGCAGTTTAGATTTGTATCTGTCTCCCTTTCTCTCTGGCTATCTTGTTTGTTCCTGGCTCTATCTTTTTCGACTGGCCAAACATATAATGCGCTTTAGAACGAAATTACGTATACGTTCAGTTGCCTGCCGGATAGAACTGAACACAGCTAGGTACAGAGTGGATTGAAGCAGAGAAAAGTAAACCAAACAACTTTTACAATTCCTTCCCTTTGAAAACAACAATAGATGAGGCACAGACTAGCGCGAACGGCCTGCTTTGTCCTCGTTGGGGGAGGTATGTTAAAGGATACGAATTGGATTTTGGTCGCCTAGGCCAACACTACCTGGCCAAATTGCTGTTTGTCTGGCAAAGGATACTGAGGCCGGATTTTGGGTCACAGCCAAGGCAGCCAAGAGTTAGCGTAAATACCTTGATTGAGTTTTAGCCGATAGGAGATTTTTCGTTTTCCTCAGTCGCATTTCAAATTGCAAATTTTGTTATGGTCAAGGCATGTTAAAATTTTGATAAATGAGCTGAGCCACGTATAAAAGAAGATTGGATTTTATTTTTTGTTCGAATTAGAAGAAGATTCGCTAGTGGTGAAGGATGAGTGGGTAATGTTATTTTAGTATTAAGCAAACATCTAAGCTCGATAATTTGGCTTGCTGCTGCCATATTAATATTATTAATTAGCATTAACAAACGTTTGAGTACTCCTTATTTCGGACTTGACAATCTTTTATTTCGTATTTAATGGTCTAAATTTAAATGCACTCGCTTTCAGGTTGAACCGTTTTAATTGCTGTCCAGTATTCTCCCCGTTTCCACTAACAAAATCAGCTCCATCTTTCGCCCCTGCACAATCTCCTATAATATATTACACACATATCAGCATAACCATAACTTTAAACCAAAACATATTGCTAATAAATAACGTCACACTTAATAACTATTTTCGTCATATTTCTTCCTTAACCCAACCCAATCCAATCCCAATCCACCTGTTTGTGCGTGTGTGGGCGTGCATCTGCAGCATTCGCAATTAGTGCAATCCCAGGACAGGGTTCCACAGCCGGCGAGCGCCAGCAGCGGGAGTAGTCGCACCAGGACTCTGCTGGCCATGCCATATTTCCAGGCTCTGCTCAGCAATCTCCAGGTGAGGCGCATCCTTTATGCATCCCTCGGTTCGTTCGATTACGATTTCGATTCCGATTCGATTATTTCGGCTCGTTCACCGGCAAATTGCTGGGCCTCACTTATTTTTTGTTCGAAAGCGAACACACATTTCGTTATTCTTTTTATTTAAATTTATTCCGTTCTTACCTTTGCTGCTTGCAATTATTCACCCTGATTTCAGTGACTTTTGGTTTGTTTGTTTTATTTCATTAATTCTGCAAAGAGACACACACATTCATCGTATGTAAAGTGCTTTCGCCTGGCCCTCCACAAACTTTGCCCTGCATGCGTGTAATTAGTGCCCTTCAAATGGGCGTGGCAGGGGCGTAGGCCGTGCAAATTGGCAAAGTACTGCATATAAATTGGGCATCGTTTGCATATTTGTCTTTAGGCTGATTGGCCCTCTTTGCCAAGCAGTTGTTGCAATTTGTCATATGACAGTGCAAGCGAATCTGAAACTTGGCTGCATCGGTTCGAGACTTCTAAGCCAACCTTGGTCGTAGTACTTTTGTTTGTTGTTATTATCTATTTGATTTGCATGTTTCATTATTTGACAGCATTGTTGAATTTACAGTCATTTTACTTAAATTGGCTATCTATAAGGCACTCTATAGGCGACATGTCCGTCGATTAGAGAATAAGCGCTTAAAAATTGTATAATAGTTAAAAATGAAGAAATGGCATTGAAAAAGTAGTGCTGTCAAAACTATTGGGCACTCTGCAATAAAAAAGTTCCTGACAAAATGTTGAAGCGGGACGAACGAGAATCTTTTTAAAGGGGTACTTATTTAGTCGAATGCTTAAATATTTTTCGTCACAAAATTGAAAATTGAAAGGTCGATCGTTACGACTTTTTTAAATTGTAAAGAGAAATGTGCATTATGCATTTAACAATCAGCACTGCCAAAACATTCACTAGATTTCAATCTATTTTTTTTCAATCTTACGTTTTTTAATAATAAAGACTTTTTTAAATTAATTATATTATTTTGAAGTAGTTCTTGTATTAAATAAGCTTGCCACTATGTTTTGGAATTCAAAAATTCCTTCAACATCTAAAATTAAGTATTTAAAAGCTATGCATGTTTTTGAAACATTTGTACATTTTTACTGCATTGTTATTTACAGTTAAGTACTAAGCACATGTGATTATATTTCCCACTCTCAACAATGATTTATAAACTTTGTCTTTCTTTTTGCATATCCCAACATCAATATTTTTTATTACTGTTCGGTTTGTTCGGGGCCCTCTGAATATATTGTACAACACAAACAACATACAAAAAAAAAAACAAAACGGGAACCACTTTCGAACATACCCTAAACATAACGAATGCAACGTAGGTAAAACTTTCTAATAACTACAAAACTTTTGCCTGATTTCTACTATATATTAAACACTTTTCACTCTATTCTCGGTGAGCACAGAGCGCGTAAACAGTTAACTTAATATCCTTGATATCCTTCCAGCCAATGGCAGTAAAATTGGTATCGCGTAATATTTATTAAAAATGTTGTGTAAAATTTTCGTCTCTTCCGTCTGCTATTCGCCCTTAGGCAACTTTTTGCGCGCCCGCCATCAAAGACATTATTTTCTGGCTTTTTGTGTGCATTTTATACATTGTAAAATGAGCAAACAATTGGCATAATGGGAAAAAAAGGATAGTCAACTCCGGCCGAAAAAGTTGCATGTTCCTGACTTGAAAGCTGGAAAATTTGAACCTTTCAGCAAAATAAACAAAAATGTGCATACAAATTGGACCGCTGCTTTTTTCAAGAGATTATTTGTGTGCTCGATAGTAAATATAATTTGAATTGTCAAAAATCAAACAGCCTGCATTTCATTACCATTACGAACATTGTTGTATCAACAAATTTATCAGTACTACAATAAATATCTGTAAAAAAAAGAAGTTTTTTTTAAATAATAACATATTCAAGTGAATTTAAAGTACCCTGAATATAACTAAAAACAATTCAATTGAATAAAGAATGCGATAAATTAATTTTGTATCCCTTGCATTGCAAATTTAAGCGCATGACATGAAAAATTATAAAATAAAAATACAAACTTTATTTATGGCACAAAATAAATTAAAAAAAAACAAGAAAGGAAGCAAACTTCGGCAAGCCGAAGTTCATATACTCTTGCAGCTATTGCAAAAATTAAATATTCTTTAAAACATTAAAATTATGATTTACTTCCGTTATATGTTTAAAAACATTGAAGCTATGATGATTTGCAGCTCATTTATTCCATAATTCCTATGGCAGCTATACGATATCGTTTCCAATTTTAATAAAATTAAAAGCGTAACTCTGAACAAAAATTACAAATAAAGAAAAGTTACATAAAAAAATTTTTGTTTTATATATTATTATTGTTTCCATGGGAGCTATAAGATATAGCCGTCCGATTTTGATGAGATTTAAACCGTAATTCTGAAATATTTACCCATTTCTATTTGTCAAAGAACTAAACGAAATTAAAAATCGGCAAGGTTATAATTTTTTGCTTCCGATTTTTCCTTTGGAATCTATATGCTATAGTCGTCCGATCCGGGTCGGTTCGACCTGCAATAGAAAGACAACTTGTTGGAAAGTTTCATGCAGATAGCTCTAAACCTGAGATACTAGTTTGCGTAGAAGCGGACGGACAGACTGACAGGATGGACAGACGGACATGGCTAGATAGACTCCCCTAGTGTTGCTGATCAAGAATACATATACTCTATAGGGTTGGAAATGTCTGCGTTGCAAACTTCTGATTGAAATTATAATACCTTCTGCAAGGGTATAAACAAAGTAAAAAAAAAAATTATTTTAAAGTCTCCTTTATTCATAGAACGCAATCTTGGATCTGTCATTAGAGAATTTCTTTTATAAGTCTTCTATATTTTATCATCGTTTCTTGTTCACATCATTCAGTTATCCGTTAAAACAATTAAATTTATTTGAGTTTCCAGTTTGAAAAACCTACTGATATTTGTTTTGCTGGTCCATTGCACGAAACAAACTCATATTATGAAATATTTAAATTAAACCAATTACATATACTAATTGTAGGCATTTATACACAAATAAATTTTTAATTTAAATCTAACAAATATTTATACCAGAAGTGCCGCTAGCTGAACGATGGTTTGTTGTTTGATATGTTGGTTAGGTAAGTGCCACTTGCGTCGTCGACTGTCCATAGAAGTTTTGTGAAATAAATATGTATACATATATGTAGAATTTATAAACTTTTTTATTAATATAATAGTTTATTCTCCCTCTCGGCCCTTTCTAACTTGGTCTATTTCCCCTTTCACCGCATTAAAGTTATGTAACTAACGCCAAACAACAACTTTTAGCTTAAAAGCGAGGACGGGAGCTAGCAAGCTGGCAAGCCGAAAATGTAATACTTTGCAGTCCAGCGATGGAACCGTAACTATATAAAACCATTAAAAAAAGCAAAAGAAAAACGAGATGTACGCATACTTCTTACAAAATCCAAATTTATCAAATAATTGTTGCTATGGGAGGAAATAGTCGTCCTTACGGCAACATTTTTGTTCGTGATCAGTGCACACATAAGAAAACACGATTTGGAAAGTTTCAATAATCTATCTTCTACTCTGGGTAAATAATCGTCATAGAACAGTATGGTCAGTTAAACAGATAGATGGCAACTAAATTTAAAGGTGTGAATTAGAAGTGACAAAAATACTTTAGCGTTAAAACCAGCAACTTATACTTAAAACTAAATACAGCCAAAACTAACATTTTGACTTGATTGTTCCTAATGCAGCCAATCTGCCATGATCAGTGTCCACGTAAGAAAATACGATTTGAAAGGTTTCAAGAATCTATCGTTTTTACTGAGCGAACAAATATATGGCATATATATTTGATCATACGATTTTGAATAGATCTCAAGGTACACATAAAAAATACGATAGCGATAGTTTTAAATATCTAGCTCCTAAACAAAGCTCGCAAACCATATAGATATCAACACGCAACGTCATGTTGATCAAGAATATATATATATATATAGTTTAATGGGTCGGAAATGTCTAATTCACTGCGTTTCAAATTTCTAACCAATTTTATAATTTCCTCTGCAAGGGTATAATAATTAGTAAATGGCGTCGCTGTCCATACACCTGCTAACAGAAAGTTTTCTAACTCATGAGAGCCCTGCAAACCCGTGGTTTTCAAACTGAAATTTTTAACGCAATAGAAAATAAATAAAGCCGTCGGACCAGCACGGATACTCTGCAAATAAGCACACAAAAAGTTCATAGATAATATGGGCATCAGAAGCTAATTTGCTGAACTGAGTTCTGTCAAAATGTTTTTATCCCCGTTACTTGTAGAGTAAAAGATTTTTGTATTTGTTGAAAAGTATGTATCACATTCCTTAAAATTAATTTAATTTTAAAACAACTTAAATAAAATGTATTTTGATCTATTTAAAATCTTATAATTTCTACATTATTATATTAAATCATGAAATTTAATATGCATTGTATTAAATGATAAATAATTTAAAATATACATTTTTATATACATGAATAAGAGCCAGTGTTTATCAAATATTTTTAATACATATATGACTTATTTTCGTTTAAAAAATTAAAAGTAAATCAATAAATATTGAAATAAAAAATTTGTTTGAAAGTTTTTTATATTTTAAAAGATTTTTATGTGCTGGCAATTGAAATATTTTCTACTTTACTATACTGTATTGTTCTACAGTAGCCAGTAATAAAACCACTATTCAGCAGACGAAAAAACTTTTACTTAAAGTACGGGGGAAGGGAAGAACCGACCGAAAACTAAACTGCCGGCAAAGTTGAGTAGATGGTCCATCGCAGTATGCAGATTAGACAAAATTCATTTTTGGAGCCTGGAGGGTATATTAATACGGCTACACTTTCAAGCGGCATTTATCAAAACTCGTTAGCGGAAAATTGCTCCACCCATATACATTGAGCCAAATAGAGGGAACGATTACAACTAATTTGGTTACATATTTCTTGCAATTTCTCGTGGTGAGCCACCAACAGGCTAGCCACAAAAAATATTCTGTGGCTTTAAAGCCGGCAGATTCACACTTACCCTGTCGCATATGCCATCTGTCCTTAATATTTGTGTGCGGGGGACAATATAACAATTTGGGGTGAAAGTTTGCGGTGAAATGATTAACTCTTGCAACACCCGCATCCTCCCTCTGCCGCTCTTCTAGCGGGTGACCGCTCGTATTTATAATTTCGCACAGATACAAAATATATTTGAATTTTTATTCAGTCCCCATGAAACCACGATAATGTCGAACTTTATGATCCTTTAATGCAATGCAAAGTGCTTATACTGGCAATTGGAGTTATGCAGGCGTGAAAGCTCGCCCACTTATGAATTGCAGCATTTATGAGAGAAAGAGAGATTGGCACTGGCCTTAGAGATATGGCATAAGCATATAAGCTTTATTTGCACATTAATCACAATAAATTGAAAATGGTTTTCGGTAAAACTGAATTAGCCTAGTGATATTTACCGGGTCAAAAATCGTCAAAAAACTTATGTCGTATTATTAAGATATCTGACGTCGGCAACCGTCATTTAAAAATTGAAAATATAGAGAGAATAAGACTCTATAATTAAATTATTTAATATTTCCAGTTCTTTACAACCGATTTGGTCGACTAAAGTTTTTAAAAGAAATGTATCTTATATACAAAACTAAAAAATAAATATATTTTGATCAATATTTAAAATTTAAAATTGTAAAAATAAAAAAATCTTACCCCATGTTTTTTTCAGTTTCAATTCTTGAAAATATCGCATTCGACAGTAGAGAATGGAGAACGGAGGTCAGAATAGCTGTTTTTCTCCGACGGCGAATTGTTGAGTTTAATAGCTTAATAACGATAAAATTATTTTCGCTTTTCCTTCAATCATTTTATAATCATAGACGTGGTATGCGTTGAGTGTTTGCAAAAACTTATGCACATTCAGATGAATAGAGAATTAATATACTTAGGATTCTAATTATAGTTTACCTGATTTGCTAATTAAATTAGGAAGGCATCCTTAATCTTTTCATTCATCAGAGCACAATAGAAATCATTTGACCAACCAAGCCACAGACTTTCAAGTCAAAGTGTTGGGTTATTTATCGATGCCATAAACGTCCATTTCGCTTCCATTCCATCCCGTGGGATATCTATGAATGCAAGTCCTGGCCATTTCATGTTTAATTGCATTGTTGTCTGCGAACTGTCGAGAGCTGCTCATTAGCAGCTCTGTGCCGGCATCCTCTTGCTAGTAAGGCCGATGATTCTCCGGTGGGCTTCGGATTTCCATGGCTACTGAGCTGGCACCTGAATTATTTCATTGATTAGCTTACAGAATGGAAATGATTTTCTGCGGAGTATAATGAATTTCTATCATGACCATCATTGAACCGGGCTATCTAGTTTGTTCGAGCCCAGTATAGCTTAGTTTGCTTTGCGTTTTGCGTACTCCTAATTAGCTAAGTAAATGCAGGCTGACTTCGTCTTTCGGCGGCCATAATTTATGACCCAACATTAGGACATTAATTATATTATGCCAAGCCCACTCCCAACAAATTATTTATTTTTATTCGTCCCAAACATTAAATCTGTGTGGGTTTAGATCTGGTTTGGCCTGAGACGCGTCAAAGCGCGATAATAAATATCCGCAGACCGGGGTCCTTTGCGCCATGCCACGCCCTTTTTGGCGGCTGGCCTGCTGGTGCCACATATACGTCATGTCGGGCGTGAACGATTTAAAACAAGCAAAATGCACCAGCACTTGCTCGCTTTTAATTTTGATTGCAACTATTTATTAATGGCAGGGTGAGAGGCTACAGGATGTAGGATGCAGCATCCGCTGGTTTCAGCCTCTGAGGCATTTTAGCCGCGCTCCACTTGAACTCCATGCCATTTGCTGCAATTTCGCTGCATTTGTTTTCCGAAAGCGGTTTTTTTTATATTGCTGGTAACATTTTAACGTAAATTAAACGAAATGACACACATTTCAGTCGAAACTGCACTGCTTCGTGGCTCGCTTCTGTTTGGTTTGGTTTGGTTGGGTTATGGTTGAGCTGGGCTTACTTCAGATCGGTTTGGTTAAGGGCTGTCTCCGCCAGCGTTGGGTTCGCCTGTCAGGCGTGAGACTTTAACGATGTGCGTGGTCCAATGTGAGCCGTGTGTATTGGCAAAACTTGCTAATGAGTCTGTGCTGAATATATTGAGTGAAGTAAAATCCTGGGACGGATAAAGCGACTGGAAGTCGTTGAAACTTTAGCACATAATTAACCGTCAAAGTTAGATATTGCAGTGTATATATTTATAACGTATAACTTGCGATGTTTGCTTACCATCAACCAAATCGAAACTTGATGTAAGATAATGCATTATATAGTTTATAATACCCAAAACATTGAACCAGCTCAATTGGAATATTATTCACAGAACAAGAACTAGTTTGCCTACTTTTTTTATGATATGAGCAAGTAGAGTTTTTCCTTTAAAAATAAAGATCTTAACTTACCCATTTACTCCTCTCCGTTCCCAAGTGCAGAGGTTCCAGTTCAGAGAAGACTTCTGTTAATTCAGGCAGAAACTGCAACCACACTTCCGGTCTATGTATCTACCAAATGGCCATTAAATTTTGAAACAATAATCTGACTGCTTTGTTGGGCAAAAACAGGGCAAGAACTGTGTGCTAATTAAAGTTGCACAGGCGGAACGCTTGGTAGTAGTTCGTAGGAGGATTGGGTTGGCCTGGCAAGCAGACCCCCAAAATTCCAATTGTGCCCCTTGAAAATGCTGCAATATTGACAAGAGCCAGGCAGCAACACAGGAACAACAGACAACGATTCCGATTGCGGCGACAACAATAAAAGCCAATGGAGGCTTCGGCGGAGGCGTCATTGTCATTGTCGCTCCCTGCTAGATGCTTGTTGGCTAGCAAATGACAAAGGGGGCGGCAAATAAAAGCGCAGCAGATGCAGCCAACAATGCAGCAACAACAGAAGCTATGCAAGCGCATTTGTCGGTTTCAAGTGGCACTTGGGAAATCATCTTTGTGTGCCTCCGACTCGATTCGACCCACAGCCTAACCAGACCCACCCAATCCTGCTGCGGCGTGGCTCTGGGCAGCTGTAAATGCAAACGACCAGAGGAACGATGTTGACGTTGGCAGGACCATGGTGTTCGACAATGAGTTCGGAGGCATCTGCAAAGGGAAATGGCCCACAGAGTCACAGTGCAAATGACAATTTTTGGGGTAAGGCTGTTAGGTTCGTGCCACACACGAAATTATGAGACTTTAGGACATTCCAAAAATTTGAACTTACGATGTCGTTTGTGATTGTGTTTGCTTACGTTCACGATTTTTCTTTTTATAAAACTTAAGAATATTGTCTGCTTCTGAGCAAAAAAAAAACCTCAATAATAATGGTTTATGATTTAGTCCCTGCAATAAACTTTTTAACCATATATTAGGCAAGCTAGGAAGTTCATATGCCATCATTTACGGTAGGGATTTTAAAGTGCCACAGAAACACGGACTGAAACAACCGACAAAAGAGAATTTTCGGACGAAAAACCCACGGCAGCATTTGGTATTCAAATTTTCGACACTCGCAAAAGGGGAAATTAGAGGGCGAATGTGGGCGTTGGGGATGCTGTTCGTAGGTTCAGAGGCTAATCGGATTTCGCAGTTCGTAGTCAGTCGACGTAAAGCAATTGATGAAGGTAATTCAAGTGTGCATGCATGAAACATCCCTCCTGTCCGCCTTTCCACCTTCCTTGAACATACCAATACCTATGCATGCGCGGTAGTGGAATGCGATGGTAGTTAGGAAAGCGGATACGGAAGCGGAAACGCGGCGGCCGTTGAGCACTGAAGTTAAGCCCAGCATATCGAACAACAAACCCGACTGGCTCGGGCCCTGAGATGCATATGTGAATTTTCATACAGTGAAGCTAACGAATCTCCCGCCCACAGTTGCTATGGCCGCTGCAGCGTTTCAAGGACTCGCGCGGCCAGCACATACTGCAAGGCGAGGCGCTCAAGTACGGCCTCGATTTGGAAGGCCCCCACTTTGAGCAGGACGAGCCGGTGCGTGTGCTGACCAAGGAGCTGCACACCGAGGCAGGACTCATGCGCACCGATTCCCGCCCAGAGTCAGAGGGACGGGCTGAGGCCGAGGTGGAAGACATCATGCCCCACATGCCGCACGCTCGATGGGAAACTGCAGCGGCCACCACGACGACGGCGGTGCCGAGCCTCGAAAGCGGTGGCTTCGTCTACAAATGGCTGCTGGGCGAGTGGTCCAAATGCTCGCAGGAATGTGGAGCAGCTGGCAGCGGCTTGCAGGTGAGTGAAGTGGTTGCTGGGGAGCTGCCAGGATCACTGTGGGGCACCCTCTTAATAGTGTGTATCGAATCCTGCAATCTCAGGCACATGTTAGAGGGTTTAGTGAGCTACAAAAAATTCAAAAGTTGAAAAAATTCGATTTAAGGTCTGCGCATTGACTAAATCACTCATACGTACTGTTGCCCTTGATTAAATATTTTATTTTCATACAGGTGAAGTAGACTTGGTTTTAAAAACTTAAACTTGACAAAATAAAACATTTTATCACCTTATTTCCACACGGCTATAAAAAAAATCAGTGTCTCCAGAGCCCAAGTTCGAGGATTTAAATGTGTATCATTGCTTAAATTTGATAGGCCTTAATTTTCATTTGCTTAGGTTTAACGCAAATGTTTTACCATAGGAATTTTTCGTGGTCATAATACCTAGAAACAACGACAAACAAACAGAATACCGATTCGAATTCATGTTAAACGCCCGAAAGTGAAAGCGGAAAAGTATACATATTAGAATCGCACTCATAAAGGGTTGGGTAATGTACATTAAATTCTTTTAATCAAGTATGCGAATTATGACTTGCTTTTTCGCTAGCAAATAGAATATCATAAAATCAAAAGACAAATGCGCCCCAAGGCAGCCAATGACTTTTGTGCCATAATTAGCCAATTGTAGAGAAATCTGGGTTTTGGCTACACCAGCCCCTCAAAATCAAGAGCAGGATTAAATATTTGAATAGGTCCCCACGCCTGAGCTTAAGTACCGCTTATTTTACGAGTCAGTGGAATACCATAATGGAGTCTTACTCATTTTTTCCATCATTCCCCCAGCGTCGCACGGTGGACTGCCAGCGAGAGCCAGATGCCAGGAGCGCCGGCAGCAGCATTGGCGACACCGAAAACCAGGTCGTGGATAATTCAGAGTGCACCGCCCACGGCCTGGAGCTGCCCGACTCGTTCCAGAGCTGCGGCAACGAGGCCTGTCCGCAGTGGAGCAAGGGCGAATGGTCGCCGTGCCAACGGTCCCGCTGCCACGGCAGGAATACAGCCGTGCAGCGCCGCGAGGTGACTTGCCGCTACGACAACGGCACACTGGGAAGTGCGTGCGACGAGTACGAGCGTCCGTCGATGCGGCAGGACTGCTACAACGAACGCTGCAAGGGTGTTTGGCGCGTGGAGTCCTGGTCCGAGGTATGTCCCGATTCTCGTATCAGCCGTGTCAAATATTCATTTGTCCCTTCCCCCCGCAGTGCAATGCGCCGTGCGGCCGTCAGGGCATCAAGTACCGCATCCTGCAGTGCGTTTGGTACGGCAGTCGTCGGCCAGCGGGCAACGTGTGCAAGCACCAGCCCCGCCCAGCGGTTATGAAGGTCTGCAAAAGTCCGCCCTGCCAGGCCAAGTGTGAGTATCTATGGATAAATTTTAAACAAGAAATTAAGAAAAATTCGGAAAGCCAAAGATTATATACCATTGCAGCTATTGCAATAGTTAAATATTCCTTAAAACATCTAGGCGTCTAAAAAAAAACAAAAAATAAAAAAGCTAGGATGATTTTAAGCTCATTTATTCGATCGTCTTCCGATTTCGACAAAATTAAAAGCGAAATTCTGAATTATTAAACCATTTCTATGTGCAAAGTAATTAAAACAAAAATTGAAAAATGGAAGGTTCAAATTTATAATTTATTTTTGTTTAATATTCCGATTTTTCCATTGGTGCTATATTATATAGTTGTCCAATTCTCATCATTTGATGACCTTAATTCGAAATTAATAAGCCATTTCTATATAGCGAAGAACTAAAATTAAATTTAAAAACAGCAAAGTTATAACTTTTTTGATTTTTTTCCGATTGTTTCTATGAGAGCTACATGATATGATCGTCCGATCCGAATTATATACTACCTGCAACAAGGCAGGTTTTGGGAAAGTTTAATACATATAGCTTTAGATTGACTCTCTTTATAGGGTCGGAAAATTCTCCATCACTGCGTTGCAAACTTGTGACTGAAATTATAACACCTATTACAAGGGTATAAAAAGAGTACAAATTCCAAAAGGAGCTTTCATGTTCTTAAACACCTAATATAATTAGAAAGTTCAGTCGCTGTACTGCCTTAATGGGTGATTCCAGGTGCCTGGAGAATTGTGTGCCATCCCCCAGAAACTATTTGATTTCCAAAGGATTTTATTATTTTAGTCATAAGTTTGCAACGCAGTGAAGAGGAAATAATGGTGCTATAAAGTTAATAATGATTGAGAATGATCAGCAGGAGAACCGCGGTTATCCGTACGCTTTACCGCAAGCTAAGGACCTTAATCATTTTTACCCGAAAGAATTAGCGATTACAATTTAAAAGTTTACATTATATGATCTTAAAAAAACTTCTTACTGTGTGAATTAATTAGATTACCGCTAATGTTTCCGATTGCTCATCTGCAGCGTCTTCCTCGGCCTCGCTGCACTGTCGCGATTCCTCGCGCTATTGCCGCAACGCTCGTGCCATGGGCCTGTGTCGACTGCATCGCTACAAGGAGAAGTGCTGCGGATCCTGCCAGCAGCCTCAGCAGCAGCCCAACCAATATATATTCCATTAGCTCCGCTGCGGCCCTACCAAATGAGCTAGAAATTTACGAATTCTGCAAGCAATTACTCTAAGTACCGTAAATCTAACGAACTATAGAAAGATAACATATAAAGTTAAACTTATCCTTATGTATGTATTGCCAGCCACACCCGCACTAACGTGAATTCGCTTTGATTTTGTATGGAGTCGAGGGAATACACTAGTTAAATATATTTGTTGGATTTAACAAAATTGAAGGGGATTCATTTAAGTTGCAAATGTAGTAAAACTGTAAGTGTACTAGACCAAACAGCCTAAAAAGAGACATGAATAAGTTTAGCTACAACGTTGGGGATCCGTACTAAATACTTTTGTTGTTTTTATAATATAGGCACCGAATTATTCAGCCCAAGAATGTCGCTCACAAATGCTTTCGTGCACTCATATAAAAAAGACAATCCAACAATTATCACAACACCATTTTATCGCTGAAGAAAAGCCTTGAAAAAGATTTAAATTGTATACACCAAAAATATGGCAACAAGATCTACCCGCCATCTCTTAAGCAACATATGACACCATTCTTGACATTACCTCGAACTCAAATCCTATTTTGTATTATGTTTTTAGCACTTTAGCTAAATTTGTAAACACTACTTCTAAACAAGTAAACAGATTTCTATGTAAGCCTGAAAAATGTCATGTGGAAGTCCTTGTTAGAACTGCATGCAGTTTTACATATTTTAAACTTTTACAACTTAAATGAAAATCCTAAGTATAATTTATAACCATTTTCCGAAACCATAAAGTGTGAATAAAATGACTTTTGGATCAAGAAAATAAGAATATTAAGATCTGTCTAAGGCATGATCTCTTTGCCCAATTAACTGACAAACAACAAAACCAAATGGATTTGGTCGTGTAAACATTTCAATGGCAAAAGCTTTGCTTTAAGCAAACAAAACCTTTATACATTATTGACCCTGAAGTACTACAAAATTCAGCAGCATGCGTTAAACTGGTGACTAGTTTAAATTTGCACTATGCTTCAAAATATTTACGTTTAATGCTTGTCAAATAATACAGAGTCAAAAAGTTTGCACTACAAGAAAAATGAAAGTTTAGGGTAAATTAACCTAGCCAATTATGGAAGTAAGGGTGTGGGAGTGTAATCACTAAGTATGATTTTGATTTATTGCTGACTCAAAGGGCCTCCCAGCAGATGAAATGTTTTAGCAAATATCTCCGACTAGCATTAATCTTAAATCTATCAACTGAAATCACAAAGCCCATTAAGCTTGTATTAAATTGATAAGAGCAGCATGACAAAAAAAAAACCGCACTGTTACCTTATGTGAACAAAAACAGAATATTAATATGTAAATATGGCAGAAGAGAGATATATAGGTAACCATTTCGAGAAGCACCTTTGACTATTCCATCGTCAATTTATAGCACAGCATTTTACTTTCGTTTTGCATTACCACTAAGGAAATTGTAAATAAATCGAAATTGACTCTAAATCAACATTTCATTAAAAGGCCAACCATGTAATTTAATGAAAAGAAAACGATGTGGAATAAATGTGTACGCCTTTTTGTAATTAGTTTTTTTATAAACAAATTGTTTAATAAGCATTACCATAAAAATAAAGAATAAACGAAATATTGCAGCGTATTAGCTGCCAACACTATAGTTTAAATACAAGCATTGGAAAAACCAAACGAGATAACAAATCCCGAAAATGTTAAATGCGTAAATAAATATTTACTGTTAAGTAAAAGTTATTACAAATATACCATTAAAGTCAATGTAACCAATGTTAAACACACAAAGACACAAAAAGACGTGTTACCACTCTAACGCAGCTCCACATCCATAAATATGCGCCAATCCCATAACATTATATTGCAAAGATATGAACAACTGCAAAATGTTGTAAGAATTTAAAGCAATTGTGGAATAAATATTAAATACTGACAAATTTTGAGTTTTAATTTCTTTAAGGCGGGTGTCATTTAGAAAGGAGCTTCAGCTAATCTCCGGGAGCTCCTCTCAAAAAAGGACTGAATCCTCCGAAATCTAAAAATCAAAGAGATGTCGTTTTTTAATCAAGTAACTAATCGAAGATATAATCAAAATAATGATTTTTGACAAAATCACGGTTTCGCAAATAAACAAAATTGGTTTTTGATGGGAGCTTCATGATATAGTCGTCCGATTTTAATAAAACTTAAATCGTAGCTCTGAAATAATAAACCAGTGATATATCTTAAGGAACAAAAAATTAGCAAACGGCAAAGTTATAATTTGTTCCCCTTTTTTTCTTGGCGTATTGTAGTATTGTATTAAATATGTGTACATTTATAATTTCATGTTATGACAAAAATTTTTGGAATTCTGGTAAAGCTTAAATCTGTCCTGCTTGTTCCAACCAAAATATGCAGAAGAAATATTATTTAGATTTTTTAATAAACGGTTTTTAATATTTATTTGGTGTTTAAATATATTTTATATATAATTATCTGTTCACGTTATTGTTAAAGCAATACAAAATACTAAGCTACACTATTATTTACTGGCATACTTATTCATTTAACATCTAGTTGTTCTGGCAATATATACAAACTTTCAGTTTCTGTTAATAAGATATGCTATAACGCACGTATTCACAGTAAACAATTAAATTTACTGCCCATCTAGAACATGATGAACCTAATCAAATAAATGTACTATTATTAATTTTATATGTATGTACATTCGATAAAAAGTAATGAAAGATATAATACATCCATATTGGTTTGAAATTAAAGTCATTATTTTAGATACAGAGCTAGCTAAGTTATTTATAATATTGCAAAAATTTTCGGGACCGCTGTTGTAAATGAAATCCCAATTGAAACATTAAACTATATGCTAAGATATCAGAAAACAGTGACATACAAAGCAAGTTAAATGACAGCTAAATGTGATGTAGTTTATCCCTCAGTCTCGAAACAAAACATACCACATAGAATCTGCTAGGAGTTATTTCTCGTCAATGGTATCACAGAGGTTCAACATACAATCTACCTTTACATATAGCAGCGTCTTATTGGTTACATAAGATTAATTTCGGCATTCGAGTTTTTTCATTGCTCTAGAGCTGAGCTAGAGCTGCCTTAAATCTCTGCTTACAGATTTATTATCAGCGTACTTATTGTATGTGATTTTAACTCTGGCTGGAACACTTGCGGTTGTCTCGTTTCTCACTATTTAAGTTAACAAAATTCACATGAAATTAACTTTTAACATATTTTTCAGATGACAGAAAATATTTTATACTTATAAATAAAGTGTTTATTTGAGTTGAAAATTGGCATTTTGTAGTAATAGGTTAATTCAGATCTTTGGTTAACTATAAAATTAGTTTGCCTATTCAAAAATCTCTTTGACAAACCTGCTTTCAGTGTAAATGCATTTATGTATTGGATCTGTTAATTAGACAGTTACACTTGTTAGACATTTTAATTTTCATTCGTTGTTAGCATGAGCTTTAAGTTCTGAGAAAGGCCTTTTCTAGTTTGCACCAAATTAATGTAATTGGTTTCAGAATAATTGCAAAGCAACACTTTTATGCTGTTTTCATTTGCATCAAATATTCATATATATAAACTACAGCGCTCCAACAGCGTTTGGCGCCTGGGATATGTTTCATAGCACTAAGGAATTCTACAAAAGAGGATGGTGGGACAACTTAGGTGGTAAACTCTAATTTGAAGACATACTCGTAGACTTACGCCTATAATGATACTAAATAAAAATTTGCACTAATGAAAATATGTGTAAATGTGTATTTCTTATTGATGCAATTTTCAGTTATTTTCATATCATTTATATTGTTAATTATTAATGTAAATAAATTATATCACAACAATAGAGACAAAGTTTGTGGTTCGAAGTGCGTCGGCGTGTGAAGGCTTGTTTCGAGTCAATCAAACAGAATACTTAATACATAATTGGGGACAGGGGCAAACCACAAGGTGATCGAATTACAGGCATTGATTCAACATGGAAGTTCTCACACGCACACAACGATTAATTTATATAACTTATGTATACGCATATGCACATGTTTAAATAGTTTAAATAGGGGGAGAGAGCAGCCACACACGCGTAGCAGAATTTCACTGAGATCCAAGACAAAAGTTGCGCCGAGCTCCGTCTTAATATTAACTCTTGCTGAGCGCCTTTTTCTTTCTTTGTACTAGGATGTCGTAGAAGGGATTGTGGCTTATGGACTGCGTCAGGCGCTTGATCCACTCCTGCTGGTCTTCCTCTGTGGCAGCCGACATGCGGTACACCGTATGCTTGCCCTCCACCACCTGAAATAAGGAGAAAGTAATTAGAAATGAATTACGACACTGTTAAGGTAAAGTACAAACCTTGCCCTCGGAGTCAGTCTTGCATGCCTTGATGATGTCGGCACCGCCCGTGGCGAACAGCTCAAAGCAGTGCGGTTTGCTGCGATCGTGAATCTCGCGCACCGATATGTTCTCCAATGGTATAATGCCGCGCGGCTCCTTATCGGTGGTGTATTCAAAATAGTAAAGGCAATTGTCGTTCAAAATGAACCAACGTCGTTTCCAAGATTTGTATCTTCAGAAAAATAAAAGCAGCCCGTTAGTCACAAAATAGCCAAATAAATTAAACCAGTCATAGCTCACCTGCCGCCTTGCTTCCACAGCCAGCCCTCCTTGTCGGGATTGAAGAAGGTGTGCATCAGATCATTGCCATCGTCCTGGGGTATTTTGAATGGCTCCGTTCGAATGGACTCGTAGAGGGACTCCAGCAGGCCTCGGGGCAAATCTCCGCCGTTGTTTATGCCACGATTCATCGATATGAATTGCTCAACGGTGGGTTTGTCTTTGACCTGTCAAAATCGAAACGAAGTAAAGGGTTAGCAATGGAGATCATAGAAAATCAGTGTATATGAAAAAAATACTTTAGTTTTCTGTTAGCGCACAGCTTTACAACTGTTTGTGTTCAACTTCTTAAAACTTGTTCTATTTATTGCCACATCAACTAGTAACTGTGCTAACGATTAAAAGACTGACTAAAAATGCGGAAGTAAATACATGCGTTCTCGACAAACCAAAGAGTACAAATTCAATTTCACAGTTGATTTAGGTTTTCTGATTTTGGTACTATTTCTATAAGCAGCAGTTTGCATCCGTTTGGCAAAAAAGATCTTAAAGAACTAAAAGCTAAAAAAAAGGAAGATGTTTTGAAATTTTGAACAGTTTCATAGAACGGACTTTCTCTAGCGTTGGAATATTCTATGACAAACGTTACTATTTCACTATAACTAGTCTTTTTTTATCCACTTACTGATGGATTGTGCAGTGATGTATTGAGCATTATAATAGCGAAGCTGAGCACATAGCAGGTATCCGTGTTGGTAAATATGTCCGGATTCAGTTGGCAATAGCGCTGGGCGAAGGTTTCCATCATACGATCGATCTTTTGTGCCTCGCCGGGCAAGCGAAACGACCACAGAAATTGTCTGTGGAAAGTGAAAAAGTGGTTGAGAGGGGAAAATGTCATTAGCGATAGTGGTAATTACAAGTGGGTGTTGCGAACTTACCTGAGGGCTTGCACCAGAATGAGATTTGTGAAATCGTGGAGTGCCACAAAGGACTTAAGCACATCCTCATTAAAATCGTTCTTTTCGCCAAGGTAATCGCCTGGAAAAGAGAACGACCCCATTAAAATGTATTTTTGCAGTACGTATAATTGATTTTTTCGCTGGCTAAGGACATTAAGGCAAGGTCAATTTAATGACTTCTTGTTGGGTAAACTTACCAATGGCCGTTTTATTTAGTCCCTCGCCCTTGTAGAGGAAATGCGCCACATCCTGGGGATCGTGACGCAGCAGTCTGTTCTCTACGAGATACTCAATGCCTGAAACAGAACAGAAAGGAACGTTATAAACGAATTATTGTATTGGTTTTCCAACTGTAGCCCAGACTTTGTAATCTTTTCCGGAAAAGAAAGTCGGCTGTCCCAACAAAAAACAAAATGCAAATCAAATCATATAATATACCCATATATGAGTGAAGCCAGCGACCCGCAACACAAACCACAGCAACCTCAATAACGAAGAAGTACGGAAAAATAAAGAAAGAATAAAGAGGGAGCGCCCCATAATAACGATGTTATTATTTGCCAATCAATGAAGAAGCTCAATCATTTGCGATAATAGCTTGCAAAACGGGAAGAACACACACTCATAACTAAACAAATAAATAGAAACCATCTACAATTATTAAATATAAGCTAAAATATATCATGAAAAAATAAACGAATGCTATTGCAAAAGTTTATTTCATCGTCCGGCAGGTGGCGCCAGTACAGTGTCACACATCCAAAAGATTGGATTTTTGATTAGGGTCGACAATGACATCGGGAAACTCCAATAACATAAATTGTGTCGATAATGACAAATCGCAAAAATCTGCTCCCGTCTTCCCCAAGAGTTTCTCAATATTGCTTAGCAGAAAGTTTTGCGTGACTTCGAAAGCTTCACGCGCGATAAACATCGCAAAGCTGACAGCGCCCACTCCTCTGCTAAACACCCAAAAGGCCCACTTTACTGGCATCATTTGAGCCCATGGATTTGGATGGCACATTTGTGTGTCATTAGCTTGAGTGTTGGTGTGTGGATCTGTTTGCGTATATTGCTGATAATCGACCGATAAAGCGACAAATAACGGTGACACCATCACTTCCACTCCTGCCACCCTGTGGCACGTTCTCGTGTGGAAGTTTTTTAATAAGCGACGACAAAACATCTCGTCTCCGTCCGGGATTCACTATGGCTCCTGTTGTTCTGCCATCTCTGCACAAGCACCTCCCACTTTGGATTAGCATTTTTATTGTCCGCCCTATAGATGCCCGGAATGCTGGGCAGGATGTGCTGTCTATTGTAGGCAGCGGCGTGGCCTAATTTTGACTTGTCGACGTGAATTTATAGCGAAGTGGTAGCCGTAAATATTTGATTGGCTTTAAATGAGGCAGGGAGGTTGGGGAACACACCAAGATATGGTGGGGAAATAGAGATGTTCGAGACATGGGTAACATGCAAACATCTTGACATGTGGGTCACCCAATGTAGGTTCGATAAAGTGTATCAAAATCTTAAATTTAGTTCTCTTTCTTTTTAAATCCGAAAACGGGAGGATTTCCCTTTAAATAACTTATAACATAGAATCTTATGAAATTTAATTTTGGAAAAGAGAAAAACCTATTGGGCTTGCCTCACACACAGATGAAAAAATAAAGATCTGTAAACGCTTTTAATAAAGTGCATTTGTGTCTTTATCTTGTATATGTAGTTGGCACCGCGATTTACACAGTCCATGTTCTTTCAGCACGTTGCCCCGATGGCATCCTCCCTTGTCAAGTTCTTGGTTATATTGCGACATTGACATTTCCATTAAATTAAACACTTGAGAGTTCTAGGGGTATTCAATTCTGGGGAAGAGGGCGACTTACACGCACGTACTTCAGATGTCAACGAACTGTCAAATTTGTCAGTGCTTTAAGATAGTGAACGAACGCACCTCACCCACATACATTCCTCCTTCCTCAAAAGATCTTTCCCCGCAGCCTTCATATTGCAATCGCTGCATTTTTGTCGGACTCATCACGTTATTAAATTAAAGTCGAAATTATTATTGGAAGAACGTCCCTCTTACACCCCGAAGCATCCAATCCCCACTCTTTGACAATTTCGCATGATAATTTCGGTTTTTGGCGCAGGGGCACGCTCCGTGGATTCGAAGAGATTCTGCTGCGAGTTTACCCTCTGTCACACCATGTTTGTGGTGTTGTCTGTTCCCCCCTCTCAGCAGCTCAATTATAAAGCATTTTGTCTGACTTCATTGTCGCCTCTTCGGGGTGACGCCCGTTGTCATTGGAAACTCATTTAAATCATCGCAACTGCAAAGTTTACATTCCCCGACTTTGAGAGACACTCCCTTCCTGATTTCCAAATAAGCTGCTGTGAAGCAGGGATCCCCCTCTGTTTATATGAAAAGAACTTCTTAAATTGCTCTGATTTGCATATTGATTCTCAGTGAGTCACCAGGAAATTACAGACGCTGTCAAACAATAACTTTTAAAGGTCTCAAAGGGGAAAGCAACAGCCTGCAATGCATTTGGGATTGCTTTGAATACCTTTAGTTTTAACAATTCACTCACCTTTTTTCGGGTCCATATTGAACTTTTTGCGGCCAATGGACATCTGTTTATCCTTATTGGAATGCTTGCAGTCTTCGGGCACATCGAGCGCCTCCATTTCTGAGACGACCTCGCACAATTCATCTTTGATTTGCTGTAATGAAAGATTCGAAATTAAAAATGTAAGCAATTTTATTTTCACCGCAGAGAATTTAAAAATAAGTTCAGGAAGTGCCGTTAACAAGTGGTGCTATAGGTACACATGCAAATAAAGTTTGCACTCGACAACTCACAGTTAATGCAAAAGTTCAGTTCAAGTGACAAGTCAGTTGTTTAAATTGCGTGTGATATTTATAAAAATCCCCATAAATTTTAAACACAGACCCAATTGAAAGTCGAGTAATTTGCATTTCCTCAGTGCCGTGTCGCCTGTCGTCTGGCGCCATAAAAAAGCATACAAACAAACAGCCACAACGACGACATCAACTAACATGAAACTATTTTCAAATATTGTCCGTTCTAGATCTAAAAATACAAAGGGAGGGGGGAAATAGAGCAGAGCAATAAAACTCAATGCAAAGTTGATTTAATTGAATTAACGATCTACCTGACACTGAACCGGAGACATCGCCAATGGTTACTGTTCTTGGAGAAGTGGGATTGGGGGCTTGACGTCTTCCTCAAGGGTCATTTCGAAAAGGGAATGTCAATTTGATGTGGTGCCCATGAAGCGGAACAGCGAGATTGCCCCGAAGCGAAGAGTGTGCGTAAAGTATCTAGAATTTTTTATCTACAACAGTGTCGACTTGAAGCATGAATGATGAGAGCAACGAGACCGGAACATATCAATTGCCCCCGTTCTTGCTCACAGCCTAGGCCCTCTGAGTGACCTCCTGAATCATGGGAGGGATATGCCCAGATATTCAGTGAATATGCCACCGAAACGAGGGGGGGAAAATGTTAATCAAGCGCCATAAAATACAATTGACAAATTGTCCAAGAGTTGTAATAGGCTACACGCACATAAAAATTATTGTTCATACAGGCAGTTGCTAAGATCGTTGAGTTGATCACGATGAGATCACTGGGGACCTTCACTCGATTCTATCGAAATTAAAATTCTCATCGATGCAGATTCGCTGAGTAAACTATTTATACAACTGTCAGTGACTTGTAAGAGTATAGCATTATATTTCATTGACTATAAATGATTTTGAGGAATTTTAATTCTTAGTGCGTGTCACAAAGAATAAACGGTTGTTAAGTTATAAACAGTAATATGCTAAATTTGTACAAAAATTTTCAATGCTTTAAAGATGGTTATGCTTTTTCATGCAGAATATAACCTCCTATTCCATTTCATTAGGTTGTGCTTGGAGAAAATGTACATTTAGTTATGCTTAGTATTATAAATTCCTTTTGTTTTCCATGTTATCATAATTTAAATTACACAGCTTAATTCACAATTGTATAATTTAACTTATTTCGCTCGTTAACAGTATTCACGGCCTAGAACTAAACATTTTCAGTAACCATATTCCACACCACTTCCGTTGGCCCTTTGATTCCCATAACATACAACATGGGAATTGACAAATTAATTATGTTAATTCTCCCAATTTTTAATCGATGCAGTGATCAACAAACCGACCTGCAGCTACCAAAATACGCCCCATAAAACCATAGGAAAATACATAAACCAAGTGAACACGTTAAACGATAAACAGGTTCTGAGTCCAATAGTCGGTAAAAAGCGACAAAAAAAAACCCCAAGTAGACACGGCTTATTAAAGGAAAAGAATGGCAGGTTGGGAGACAAAGTTAATGAGCGTCAAACTTAAAAATAAACTCAACGCGAGGTTTGGTATCTTTCAGATACAGCGACAGGTAAAAGTGACTTGTCGATGAGTGTGAGAACAAGCCGCGTGGAAGTCCCACAGAAGCAGCAACAAGTGCTGCGAGTGGAGAGAACCGGTTACAGCCCGATTAATGCAAATTCTTTGAATCGCTCGAAAACTTAATACAAATGCTCTGGGGGTCTCCAAGTGAGTTGGCAACAAATTGATTGTGATATGAAATGGTAAAACAAGGTGCAAAAGCAAAGATTAAGAAAACCAAAATACGTTTATGCGAAACTTATAACCAGCACAGAACTCAATGAATTTTTATAAAAAAAAAACCCTATAGTTATTTTGGGAACTTCCAGATTGACAAAAAAAAATAAGTTTATAATCATAACTTATTTTTGTGGGTAATACCAATTAGTAGTCACTGTGGAATTAACACTATTTTTAGAATGGTTAATTAAGCATCACTTTGGGAACTTTTGAAATGTGAGATGCTGTTCCCCGGTTCCTTCCCACCCCGCATACCTTTCCCGGTCGCCTGAGGATCACTAGATTGCCACACTGCTCCGCATTGCTGCGGTTCCGCTCGAGAAGCGTGCGACAACTCTCGCAGAGATTCGACTGCTGGCTGCTCCGCTTGCTGCTGCCATTGCTGTTGTTGTTATTGTGGTTCACATTGTTGTTGTTGTTGTTGTGTTGGCTGATCGAGTTTCGCTCGGAATCGCTCTGCGAATTGGAGCTGTCGTCGATGAAGCGCAGATCCCCGGCGTCGGGTGTCAGCGGCGAACTGAGCCCCGAACTGGGATCCGTTTCCAGCTGCATTCCGGGATTGTCCATTCCCCTTTCCGATTCACTGTCCACATCCAGCATACAACCGAAGGAGTTGGAGCGCGTTTTTCGCGGCGACCGCCTTGCAATGATTTCTCCCTTCTCATTCAATAGCAGTTCCACGGGTCGCGAAACAATCAGGGTCCTTGTGGTCGTTGTGGTGGTGGTGTGCTTGTACTCAGTTCGTTTGCTGAAGAGCTCCGTGTTGGGCTCATCGCTGGGCAGGCGTTGCACCTCAGTGACCTTGTGGGTCACATCGCTACAGCTCACGGTTTCGGTGCTGAATGAGGGACTGGCGGGCGGTGGGCTGTCTGGCGAGAGGTTTGTAATGTTGTATGTGGCCACGCTGGTGTAAGGCGCCAGCGAAGGGGACCGCGGTTTGGCGGGCGGCTTCTGCGTGACCTTTGGGGCAAACGTGGGCGTGGCCTGGGGCTTGGAATCTTTGCTTGGCTCGGATTTCGCGAGCAGATTGCAAAAGCAGCGAGTGCAAACGCTGCTCAAGCTACTTCCGCTACTGCTACCCGTATCCACCAGACGGCGACGATCGTCCTTGACACCAGCGGACGATGCGTTCAGAGGGTTGATGTAAAACGTACTATTGCTTAGTCGACTTCCCGGCGATCCGGCCCCGGAATATCCCACACCCACGCCAACATTCACTGCGCCACCCACCGCCGTCGAGGAAAGGTCAAAGCAGCTCCTCTGCAACTGCTGTTTGCTGCCAAAACTTCCACTGCCTCCCAAGCCGACGGAGCTCTTCTTGTTTTTCGGCTGTCGGCGGAGCGAGGAGAACCAGTTACTAATGCTGGGACGCTTTTGGTGGAGCGATGCCATCCTTCTCACTCAATTGCTCACTTCCTGGGAACGAGTTTCACTTTTTAAATGCGCTCAGACGTGCGCCTCCATGCCGGCTAACTGAAAATTATAGAGGTCTTAGTTTGGGGAGATTTTTAGGCTGCAATCTCTTGTGGCAGACAATTTACAAGTACAATGTGGCGTCTTAATGGGGATCTCCTGTGTAACCCATAAATAAATTAGCTAATTATGGCTGTCTCCGTGTGTTGAGTGCAGTGTGAAACCCTACAAAGCGCTGAACAGGAAGTGTCAGGATGGCTAACCTCAAAGTGGAACTTTGTCTGGCGTCGCAACATTTTTCGGGTTTCCCATGCCGCCGAACCGAACAGCGAACGGAGACACAAAACGAATTACGCTAATGGCCTGCAGGTTAACAAGGTGATGGCATCCCTAATCCCAGGACATGCAGACGCGTCGAAGAAAAGGACACTTCCATGTGTGATTTGTTGACTTGCGGCTTAAAGCGTTGATTCAACAGAGAACCCAGCCCAGGACCTCTGTTCAGGATCAGGATCATTATCTGGGAATGGGACCAAGTCTGCTGCGGACGCACATTTATTTTTTTGTCTTGTGATTTATTGAGATTTCTTTCTGGTCCCTTTTGCACTTGGTGTCTAATGTTTGCTGTGTGCATTATTTTTGTTTTGGGCAAACAGGAAGGAAGTCAGCACGATAAAGCTCGAGAATTGTTTTTGGGGAAACAGGCGACCAAAATATAATTGAGGTCGGTGTTCTCGGCTTTAGCAAACAAGAGAAATTCACTCAAGCATATGCAAAAGCTTACCGAGACGAAGATTTCGCAAAATTTATGACATTTTTTGGGTTTTGAGTGAGCTGCCAATTTATCACACAAACAAAATGGATAGAAAAAAAATAAAGCTTTCAATGAAATTGCGACAAGGTAGAATTTATATCAGAGGAAAATAATGCCAAGGCGCTCAAGTTTAAATTCATTTCTTGATCAAAATTGTTGAATCAAAGATGATCATCCTTCCCAATGCAAAATTCAAGACAAAAAATATTTCAAACAAGTTAACCCTGAAATAACTTGAAACTTAAATTAACAAATACTCAAGAATACGCTTTGATTTTTAATAAATAATCTCGTAAACGCTCTCCCTATCCTTCCAAAATATGGAAGGCTCCCAAAGTTTCAACAAAATTTACTTTAATCAATGTCAAGTTATTTGAGTCCCCGACCTGTGTACGAGTCGTACCCCCCTTTTATGTGCCATCTGGGACTTGGGAACTGGGGAAATGGCGAAGTCCCCAAGGAGAAGTTCTGTTATAGCAACAATTGCCTGAGTTTTGGCCTTGCCACGCCCGCACATTAGGCAGGCAAAATGAACTCTTTGAAAGACTTTTTGGTATCCTTTTTACGATGCCTACGTGATTGGATTGCACAAATGAGCGAACATTCAAATGGATTGCATTTAATATGGTTCTTGCTCGGGTCCCTATGTAGATGTGGTCGCAGAGAAGCGTTCCTTATATAAAATAGCCAAATAAAGAAGACAAACATTACGAGGCGGCGACCACATAAAAGGCGCGGCCAGCTTCGTTGACCAAGTTGAAAAACATTGAGGCAAAAGACAAACACTGGCACAGGGAAGGTAAGTGAAGGGAGAGGTTGGGGGAAGAACACACAGGTGAATGCCACAGGCATTCGGAGAGAAGAAGGCAAAAGACTAAGAAGGAAAACAAGTAAAATGAAATTAAATTTGTAAACAAACTATCAATCAAACCGAATGAAGCCGCCACTCACACACACACACACACACACAGATACGAAGTCAAATGAGTGAGTACACAGACAGACAAAAGACAAAAAGAGATAAAAGCAGATCCCACAGATATAGATACAGATACGAGCACCAACAACTTGAAGTGGCCCATCAAGGCTGTGATTGTGATTGCTACCTGTGGGCAGGAAATGCGCTTTGACTATGGAAAAGTAATGGCGTGTAGGACTAAGCCCCCTGCCTGTAAGTTTCCCGAAAGTCTTAACCCGTGATAAATGGAAAAAAGAGAATAAAAGACTCCGACACACAGTAGCCACAAAAACGGGGCGTGTCTTGCATCATTTATCTTGACAATTTAATCAACACTTTACACTTTGCAGCCAAACAATTGAAAACTGCTGGCGAACGCCTTTTTTCTCGGGCGACGCGCTCTTTTAACCCTTTTGTCTAGGATTGGCAAACACGCTTTGAGCTCGGCGAAAACCAATTAGAAAATCAGACACATAAACAATGCCCTAGACCGAAATACGTACTCGTGTAAGAGAAGATAATACAGAAAGTACCATCTGGGACTCAGACCTGGGGAAAAAGGTGGGGGAGCGGAGGGAAACCTTTATTGTCGTCATCGTCTGGGTGGATTTGAGTTTTCCCATAAGTGACTTTTACTTTCCGCCAGCAAAATGCAATTAAACGCAAGCTTTCCTCTCTCACTCTCAAATTGCGACAGTTTTCCCTTCTTTTTTGTCTCAGCATTAAATTTATCTACGTATCTCGTCTCGGGTCAATGACTTTTGCTGATAGAAAGTGTGAACACTTTGGCTGCAATTGTTATTGATTGTCTGTGTGAAACATGCTAAGAAGATTTTCCACTTCGTTACAGCTGAAACTAAGAGTCTTAGCTTTGTCTGCCCAGCGGAAAAAAGTGAAATTAGAATCATATTTAGGGACGTGATGTCACTTTTATGGCGGGAAGCCAGTTAAAGATATTTTCGTTTTTAGAGCGCGGTTATTTCTTTGAAAACAAAGACTCAACAACTATTTCGTTAATGATCAAAACTTGGCCAGCTCCATCGCTTATAAAAATATGGAAAAAGAAATCTAAAAATTGCCTTAAAAAACAAAAAAACATTAAAATGCTGGTGAGACTGGGGCTGCTATGCATAACCTCGCCATATGTAGGATACATTTTTTGTAGTCTCGGTTTTCGTGTAGTTGCGTCATTTTGCTAAATCGAGAAAGATGCAAATTCGTGCCTGCGATAGAAGTGCTCACACTAGTTTTGAGTTTTTATACCCTTGCAGAGGGTATTATAATATCAGTCAGATGTTTACAACGCAGTGAAGGAGACATTTCCGTCCCCATAAAGTATATATGTTCTTGATCAGCATGACTACGAGAGTCGATCTAGCCATGTCCGTCTGTCCGTCCGTTTCTACCCAAACTAGTCCCTCAGTTTTAAAGCTATTTGCATGAAACTTTTCCAAAAGTTGTCTTTCTATTGCAGGTAGTATATAAGTCGGATCGAGCCGGATCGGACGACTATAGCATTTGGCTCCCATAAGAACAATTAAAATATTAAAAAAAAAAAATTAAAAAGGTAACATTTCTATTTTTTAATTTTTTTTAAATATTTTTTTTGAGTTATTAATAATTTGACAGTTCAGAATTACGCTTTTAATTTTATTTAAATCCGAAAACGATATCATATAGCTGCCTTGGGAACTATCGAATAATTGAGCTGCAAATCATCATAGCTTCAATGTTTTTAAACATATACGCAAGTAAATGATAATTTTAATGTTTTCAAGAATATTTAATTTTTGCAATAGCTGCAAGGGTATAAAAACTTCGGCTTGCCGAAGCTTGCTTCCTTTCTTGTTTATTTTAGGAAAATTTTTTTCCAAATACCCAAATACTCAATCCGGAGGCAACAGACGAAATAAGGAACATAAGGATGACGAGGAGCACAAACAGATACAAAATTAAACAAAATAAAGGCAAAACAAATAGATAATAATAAACAAACGAGTGTGGGCTGGCTTGGCATCCATAGAGGTAATGAGCAATGTCCATACAGAAACAGATGAGAAAATATTACGTATATGTCTAGTCGGCCAACCCTGGGGCAGCAAATAGAAGTAGCAGCTGGACCTTCCATTTCAATATATTATTTTTATTTGGCATTTGTTTATGATATGCTAAATGGCATTTGGTCATTTGTTATGCTCAAGACACAAATGGTGAAAGATTTCGTCTGCCCTCGCCTGACATGATTTATTTTTTGTCCATTTTGGTTTCCGTTTTGAAAAATCACATATTGAGCATTAGGCGACAACATCTGTACAAAATTGTTAAACCAATGAAAGGAAATCAAAAATTATAAGGAGTTTTGGTAGGACAACACATTAAACACAAGTGGGGCGATAGGTGGATGTACCTAAGCTACTACAAAGCGAAAGATTTACCTTATTTCAGCAAAAGTTAGCCACAAGTTTCCAAGGCCTTGAGCACCAGCTTATAATCAAAACCACTTTAAACTAATAATACAGTCCTCTATGAGTTTACGTTAATTTATATTCCCCATAAATCGCATTCTCTCCGCCTTATTTCTCTGCCCGGTGAACCATTAAAAACGCAAGTTCGTTGGCCCACTTTGGCTGCCGCACAGCAAACAACAATGTCCGCCAACAGAATATCTAAAATAAATGTGTTTTTAATTAAATGCCTTTTGTTTCTAGTCAGAACACAGTAGACAGCAGAATACTGGACAAAAGGTAAGTGGAATACAAGCAGAAATGGAGATGCGGGTATGTCTACAGAGCTGCGAAGACACCTGAATTTCAGTCAGTCTTTTTAATCCCACAAAAACGATGAGATGGCCCTTTTTGGTAAATTCACTTTCGGCAGCCATTTCCAACATCTCATTAGAATGCCGCCTGGACTGCGACCGTTTATTTTTCAATGTAATTAGAGAGAATTGTAGCCATTGTACAAAAAGGTAGGCGACGTCTGCTCGACGTTCCGAAAACAACAGAAATTTATACCTTGGTCACACATTTAGAAGGAATTTCATCTGTTTACTAAAATGTTAGTTACACGCGTTCTGCATACTAAGCACTTGCACCCCTCAAACAGATACTCAGACACATTGTATCGCTTTCAGTGTTTTCGCGAGGTAGCAACAGGTGCACCTACTTTTACGGCAGTTCCAAACAACAAGGCTTTTACGTAGCTCGGTTTGTTTGTGGCATCGTATTTTACTGATGTTTATTGATTGTGTTTTCCGCCTGTTTACTGGCGTCAATTTGCTAATTTTGC